GCCGAGCTCCCAGGCCCACATGGCTTTCCCGTGCCACTCCACATGTCAGAGAGAGGATTCCCAAGGCTACTGCTGCTAACAGCCCCAACCTGCCCCTCCCTGCTGCAGGGCATGCTGGGAACTGGGACAGCCACTTGACTTCTTAAGGTAGCTATTGTAAGAGCCTAGGGTGACTTAAGGTGGAGCAGATAGATGAGCGGTAAGTGGCAAAAAAAAGAAGCAAGGGTGTGACTTTGAGGCGTCTAGGCAAGAGCAAGTCCTGGCCTTTGTTTTCCGTGACATGCCTTGCTTCATTTGCTTGGGTCCAAAAGAGACCATTATGAATCTTTTACTGAATACAAAATTCGTAGGTTGGACTGTGACGAACCTGATGTCACCATTCCTGTCCTGCTAGGAAAAAGACAGGACTCATTCACCCCAACTGTAAACAGTGGGAACAGTGCTGACTTCCTTGGAAGTGCAGAAGAAGGCAGCAGGTGGGTCTGCCCTGTGGTGAATGAAGGAGGGAGACCAATCATCCCAGCTGGCCCAGGAGTGGTGGACTTGGGAGGGGCTGGCTCCCAGGAGGTGGGAATTTCAGTGCTAAAACCGGGAAAGTCCCAGGCAAGCCGGGACAAATCAGTCACTCTAGAATGAAGCCTCAGCGGAGTGCAGCTGCCTCCAGGCCCCTTGACGTGTAGGCTGGCATCCCGCCGCCTCCTGTGGAGGGGTATAGACTCTGCCAGTTACTAGCCTGAGCAGTCACATAGCCTCTGCGGGTCTCAGTTTGCTTATATGTAAAATGGGGTTAATAGTAGCTACCACATAGGGTTTGTGACATTTGAATGAGAATGCATGAAGGCGCCTGGTGAAGCATCTGGCACATCGTTAAATGCTAGTTAAATGCTAGCAATCTTATTTATTACTCATTCATTCAATTCATTCCACAAATTTGTATGTGTACCCTGTGCCAGGCACCGTTACAGGCCTGAGGGACAAACACAAAAATCCTGCCCTTGAGGGGGTGGATAGACAAGCATAATACATGAGTAAATGGTATATAAGATGCTAGGTAGAAGATCTATGGAGGGAAACAATTGAACAGGAGGAGGGGGATTGAGAGTACGGGGGCAGAGAAGTTGCAATTTTGAATACTTTCGAATACAACGGTCAGGATACACCTCACTAAGAAGGTGATTTTTGCACAAAGACCTGGAGCAGGTGAGGGAATGGGCCCTAGCTAGTGAAGAGGAGCCTGGGCGGAGGGAGCGGCTTGTGCAGCGGTCCTGAGGCAGAAGCATATCTAGTGTGTTCAATGGCAGGATCTCAGTGACTGGGGGGGGGGGGGGGGGGAGGTAGTAGGAGATAAGGCCATAGAGGTAGAGGGCCTCTCTGTGGGGTAGAGGAATAGAAGGCTCACACGGGGTTGTACAGGCCATTAGAAGTTCTTTGGTGCCCAGTTTCACTCCAAGTAAGAGCCACCACACGGTTCTGAGCAGATGAGTGACATGTAGCACCTTAGGTTTTTAAAAAAGATCATTCTGGCTGCTATGTTGAGAACAGACTCTCAGAGCACAAGTGTGGAAGCAGGGAGACCATGGGAAGACTTGTAATAATCCAGGTGAGAGATGAGGACGGCTTAGGCCAGGAGAGCAGTGGAAGTGATGGGACTCTGGATATCTTTTGAAAGTAGGATGATAGGCTTTCCTGACTAAACAGACGTAGGAGATAAGAGAAAGTGGAATCAAAGATGATTGCAAAGTACTGATGTGAGAGCAGAGAGGGGCAGGTGTGCCTGCTTCCTGCACGGTCAGATGGGATGGAAGGCTAGAGTATTATATTATTGGCCTTCATTAGGCTATTGGGATGTCCCTTATGATGGTCTCCAATATCTGATGTCCTGTTTTGCCCTCATAATTATCGACTAACCCTTGTTCTGGAATCGACTCGACGGCAATAGGTTTGAGTTTTTTTGTTTGTTTGGTTGGTTGGTTTTTGGTGGTGCAGTGATTAAGCACTTAGCTGCTGGCCAAAAGTTCGGTGGCTCAAACCCACAGTTGCTCTGCGATAGAAAGATGTGGCAGTCTGCTTCCAGAAGGATATACAGCCTTGGAAGCCCTATGGGGCAGTTCTACTCTGTCCTATAGGGTCACTATGAGTTTGAATTGACTGGATAGCAACGGATTTGGTTTTGTTAGGGCCCCTAGGAGGCACAAAAGGTTAAGCACTCAACTAGTAACCAAAAGGCTGGTGGTTTGAACCCACCCAGAGGCACCTCCGAAGACAGGGCTGGTGATCTGCTTCCAAAAGTTTATAGTCTCGAAAACCCTAGGGAGCAGTTCTACTGCGCGCACGTAGGGTTACGAGTCGGAATTGACTCAATGGCAGCTAACGACAACCCGTGTTAAAGGGTTAAAGGGTATGCCCAAAAGGCGGTCTCCTCCCTTTACCTTGTGAATCCTGCTTCCTTGAGGAACATCCCAGGTAGATTAACAAATTATTAGAACTCTTATTTTCATCGAGCAAACGTGACCCTCCAACACAGCAGTCTCAAACTGGCACAGCCTTGCCAACTCGGGTCCCTGAGGAAAGAAAACCAGCAAGGCCCTTCCCTGGCAACTGCCTCTGCTTGCCTGGGAGTCAAGACAGCTGGGCCCCGGGAACACTCCTTTCCCAGGCCCTTGTTTGCCTTTCCTACTGGGAACCCAACTGCGCACGGTGATGGAGCAGGGAGCCTCTGGGAAGCAGCCTGACTTGCCTCCAGTGCTTTGGCCAAACCCCACTCCCTTGCAGATCTCAGCTGTGCCACTCAGCTGGAGGCCAGGTGGTGCCCTTGGACACTGGGAGGCAGGGGGCCCTGGGTAAGAACGCTGGGCACCGCTTTCCCCACCGGCTCCCTGTCTCTCTCTCCTCCTGTTGTTGTCAGTTGCCGCTGAGTCAGTTCCAACTCAAGGTGACCCTTTGTGTGTGGAGTAGAACTGCTCCATACGGTTTTCAAGGCTGTGAACTTTCAGAAGCAGATTGCCAGGCCTGTCTTCCAAGGCTCCTCTGGGTGGGTTTGAACCGCCAACCTTTCAGCTAGTAGTCAAGCACTTAACCATTCCCACCACCCAGGGACTCCACGTATCTCTCTCCTCAGCGCTAGCAAGTGAAAGTGGTCTCCAACAAGCACTCTCAAATCCCCACTCCTCACAAGTGCGGGTGCCCGTTCGTCTACCCCTTTACCTTCAGGAGGGTTCTCACGTCACCTTCCCAGACAGATGTGTATCTCAGGTAGCTCTCCTGATGGTGTTTGTTTTTGGGGTGGGGAAGTGGAGGCTGCGTTAGGCCCCACAAACAGTGCTCTCTTGGGTGCCTAGTTTCCCACTCTCAAAAGCCTTTTTCTGTCTGAAATGTCTTCCTTAGGTCTCACCCAAATCTCTCCTCTTGCCATTTAAAGTTACACTCTTGGGTTCTGTGCAGCAGAGATGGAGAGTAGATGTTGAGTGGATGTTTGCCCTCCTGCTGCACCCCGCCCTGCGGAATAGCCCTTCACTCTGACCTCAGTGTGAGGAAGTCCTCTGCATCAGCAGCTCCCTTTTCTCCCAGCACCCGGTTAACCACTTTTTCTTGAACTTTGTATGAGCTTCGGTTGAGTGCAAGGCTTCGAACCAGTTCATTCCAGTTCGAACCCCTGCTAAGAATTCGCATTTCCACCCCAGATGTACTGAATCAGAATCTACATTTTAACACAATCCCCAGGTGATTCTTATCTTTCCACCCTGGCTGTATGGAATCAGAATCAACATTTTAATAAGCTCCCTAGGTGAGTCAGTATATCTGGGGTGGGAAATGCAAATTCTCAACAGGGGTGTGAACCGGAATGAACCTGTTCAAAGCCCTGGTTGAGTGTCCCCTTCCTCTGATTCTGACCCTCCCCAACTGCTGACCTTTTTTTAGCACAAAGCTTGCCCCACCCTGCCTGTGGGGAGTCCAGCAAACAGCCCAAGTCAACAGCTTCAAGCGCCAGAGCCAGAGCTAATTCTCTGCAGTATGTAAACAACTGGATGAATACCAACTGGCATTAATTGCCACATTAGGATTTTCCCTTCTTCCCTTGAAGAGTAACCTCCCTGGGGCCCAGCAGAGGGGCCTAAATGTAAGGAAGTCACTGGGAATAATGCTGCCTATTTCTTTTCCCTCTGGGAACGTGCCTAGAATGTTTGTGTATGTTTGTATGTATGTGTGTGTACAGGCATATAAGCATATGTGTGTGTTAGTGGGGAGAATGCTGATAATCCAGGACTAAGTACTGTCTGAAGACTTTGTGGCCTTAACCTTTTTTTTTTTTTTTCAACCTGAAGAGTAGTACTTGGCACTCTTAGTAGTGTGTGTGTGTGTGTGTGTGTGTGTAAAACAGAAAAGGAGGGGCATGTGTGCTTGAAAGGGATGCCCCCAAAGTCATAGTCTCAAAGCTTCTGCTCTGATGATCTCCTAAAGCTACTAGAACTTGGAACCAGGACCCCTGGGTGGGCTCTGCCTCAACCTGGCATAACCTTGGGCAGATTACTTATTCTTTCTAGTTTAGTGTGTGAGCCGATGGATGGAAGGTGACTCTGTTTGAATCATCACCAGAATTTACATATTAATGTGAGAGAAAAGTTGTGTGTAAGTCCCAAGAAACACTTTAATATTTGTATTCTTACAGGTGAAGCCTGAAATGTACCCACTGAGGAGTAGATGAGAGTTTTGGTCCAGGCTAGCTTACCCTGCTCGCTAAGAGGAGTGAGTGGTGCTTGTGACCAACTCATCCTGGTTTGTCCCTGTTTATCACTGAAAGTCCCATATCCCCTCACTCCTGGGAAAATTGGGATGGTTGGTCACCCTAATTGCATCTCATACTTGGGAAGACCAGGAAAAGGAAGGGAGGGGTCCTTTTTAAGGGATCTTTTTTTTTTAAAAGGGATCTTTTAACTGCCTTCGTTTATCATTCATCTCTTCCCTTTTTTCCCTCATTCATCCTACTTCTGTCTCCTTTTCAGGTCTATCTGGGAACCCTGCGGACCTGGAGAAGCGTAGGCAAGTGTTTGGACAGAACTTGATTCCCCCCAAAAAGTCCAAGACCTTCTTAGAATTAGTGTGGGAAGCCCTTCAAGATGTCACACTTATCATCCTGGAGATCGCTGCCATCATCTCCCTGGTCCTGTCCTTCTACCGCCCCCCTGGTGGAGAAAATGAACGTGAGTGTCTTCAACAGCTCAGCATGACTCTGAGTCGGGTTCTTTCTACCACCACCAAAAAGTACTTAGTGTTGGTGGTTGGCAAATTGTAGCTTAAAACTTTCCTCCCTTTATCCAGGGTGAGTTCACCAAAGGAAAACAACTAATAACTATTAAACTATTCTTCCAACCCATCCTTATTCCAGGGTCTTTCCCCCACTTTCCCATCAAATTCTTATCCAGAGTGTCACCAGTCCTCCACCCTCCACCCAACCAAGAAAGCCCCACTCCTCAGAATGCCTCCCACCAGTGGTCTGGCATTGTGAGAAATAGCATAGGCACCTGACCGTGTTAGGAATCATAAGTTCTTTACATGTGACTTGCCTGTAATTGCATTTTGTTCTATTTAGCCATTTGCTTCTTTGGCACTAACATAGTTATACCGGTGATGAGAAGATGCCCAATCCTGCTGTCCTTCCATGTTCTCCGAGATGTCTTCTACACTGCGGTTTTGTTCTCTATTATTTTCTTTCCATAACTTTCTATTCTCAGGGGATGGTGGAAGCACTGCCCCCATTTCTTAATGACAAGAAAAGCCCCTAGATGACCCTTTGTTTCTATCCCTTTCCTGGGATAGAGTGTGGTCAAGGTGCAAGTACCGCAGAAGATGAAGGGGAAGCAGAAGCCGGCTGGATCGAGGGGGCAGCCATCCTGTTCTCAGTGCTCATCGTGGTGCTAGTGACTGCCTTCAATGATTGGAGCAAAGAGAAGCAATTCCGGGGGTTGCAGAGCCGCATTGAACAGGAGCAAAAATTCTCCATTATCCGAAATGGCCAGATCATCCAGCTTCCTGTGGCTGAGATCGTGGTGGGTGATATCGCCCAGATCAAATATGGTGAGAGCTCTGTGTTTCTTCTATCTATGCCACCCTTCTTATTTTGGAGGTAGGACCTTTGGCATGAAGGGCCTAGGAATTGCTAAGGACCCAAAAAGATAAGACCTCAGATGGTGTCAGCTTCAAGGTTAGTGTTAGAGGAGGTTGTGGGAAGTAATTTCTAAGAAAGAAGAACTCTCCCAGAAGATTATCAAACTTGTACCCCAGGTGGCTTAGGGTTAAAAGTATATAATACTCAGGTCATGGGAAGGTGTTTGGGGATTAATAATAGTTTGAATTTATAATACCTGAAAAGGAACCTCATCCCAGGTGGTACAGAGCTTAAGTTGTCTCTTAAAGGCTCTCCAGATACTCCCCGGGCCACTGTCCTCTAGGTAGGACCCAGGGAAGCAGCCCTGAGATGGGGTTGGAGGAGCTGAATGGTCCCCACTCCCCACCAGGCCCTTACCTCCTTCCCTGTCCCCCTCCCCTTTGTGTACTAGGTGACCTGCTGCCTGCAGATGGGATCCTGATCCAGGGCAATGATCTCAAGATTGACGAGAGCTCTCTGACTGGGGAGTCAGATCATGTCAAGAAGTCCTTGGACAAAGACCCCATGCTGCTCTCAGGTATAGCCTCTGTCTTCCCAAGCTCCCATTCTGCCTCCTACCTGACAGTCAAGCCACAGAGACCTCGTCAGACCCTGCTCTCTCTTCTGGCCCTATCCTGACTCCTTCCCCTGCATTCAACTTGGACAAAAGCATACTGGTGGGTTGAATACAAGTATAGCAGGCAACGTAAAAGAGGCTTTCTGTGAAGTACGTGCTGCAGGGGCCTCAAAGGGGCTCTGGTGTGGGGAGGGGCCCCTACTCTGAAGCAGTTAGACACATTTTTCTCCTTACCTCCAATTTGCTTGGTCTATTTTAAATGCACCCAGCTCTTTACCTTTTCCTACTCACCTGCTGAGTAAATCATTATCCATAGGGGAAAAGGGAAGAAGAACTGATTTTTTTCTAAGTTTGTGTTTCATACCAAATCATGGCTATGTATAAAAAACAACACTCCTTCTCATCTTCTTCCTTTCTATATAGGGACCCATGTCATGGAAGGTTCTGGCCGAATGGTAGTGACTGCTGTTGGTATCAACTCCCAGACTGGAATCATCTTTACCCTCTTGGGGGCCAGTGAGGGAGATGGGGAGGAGAAGAAGAAGAAAGGTAAGGGGCACTCAGAAGGGGAATCTTGCCTCCCGTCCCCGTGGACAAACTAGGACACGAGGACGCAGATCTGGATGAAATACCTGGTTGGAAGAATCTGCTGGAATGAAGGGAGCAGATACCCAAACCCCTTGCCAAGATAAAAACGTGAACCCTGGCACCCCAGGGTGCTCTAGTGAAAACCAGATCCTGGCTCTAGGCTCCCAAATGAAGTTGCCTTTGAGCCTTGATTGCTATGTCTATTGGTGGGTTGTAAAGGAATGAGTTATAACGCCTTCCCAACGTGAGCTGGCTGGGTGCTCTGGCCCCAAATGCCCTCCGTGTACTGCTCTTTCTGTCACTTCCTTCCTCAAACACGGGGATCAAATGAATCATCAAGGCCAAGGGAAGAATGGACAGGAGAAAAAATTGGCTATCTGCTGGAACTATGGGCTCTCAGTGGAAGAAGCATGAGCTAGGAGAATGGGAACAAAGAGGTAATGTCTACTCTGAAGTTAGTCCCGTCTTTCCATTCTCTTATTCCTGAAGCAGGGAAAAACAGAGGGCAAAAGAGAAAAAGTTACTGAAACCAGATCTACCCCTTCCCTAAGCAGGCCTTCCTCCCTTGCGGGGAGAAGGACTTCCAGCACTTGGCTGGAGGATCGTCTTGGGCTATGACTAGGATTAGGACGGGAGTTTATGAAAAGAGACACACGTGCTCCCGGGAACTAGACTATTCCTTTCTGTAGCTCCCTGCAGATGAGTGAGGAGGAAGTTAGTGTATGCCTGGTGCTGTGGATCAATGTGGAGAAGCTTTTCAGGGCCTTTGCCGCCAGGCAGAAAGAGTTCAAGCATTTCACTCCTTACCCCTCTACCCCAGTTTTCCAAGTGATGTACCTCAGCCAGGAGCACCCCACCAGCAGCAACGGTGCTCCAAGGGAAATGGCCAGGTGTGGGTGTGCCCACCTGTGCACTCACCTGCATGAGTGTTTTTATCACATCTCCCCAGGATTCATGAGTGCCCCTGGTAAGCGTGAATGTGAGCATGAGGCGTAAGCCTCCTTTCCACTTCCCTTCCCTGCAGCCCAGCCCCTTTGCCGCTAACCTTCTGGGCTCCGAGCAGGACCAGCAAATTGGATATCTGATCCCTTAAGAGTCACTTTGGGTCTCCACCCCACATTTTTCTTTCTTGTTCAAACAGGTAAAAAACAAGGAGTCCCTGAAAATCGCAACAAAGGTAACCTCTCCACCCACTCCTTTGCCATTCTACCTGCCCACCTCAAACCAGACCTTTCCAGGCCATCTGCCTTCTCCCTTTTCCTTGCCATAAGTCTGTTATCTGCTGTTGTGGCCCAGACGCCTCATCCTGAGGAAGGTGCAGAGATTTGGGGGTGGCCGCTAGGTCCCAATCCCAATTTAAGATGGGACAACAGCACCCTCTGCTGTTGGCTCATGGAACCTCATGTCAAGACTTCTCTTGGGGTGTATATGGCATTGAGCTGCTCTTCCCAGGGTGCTGAATTCTGTACTTCATTGTCCTAGGCTGGGTTTAAACACTAGTGGTCCAGAACCTGAGCCCATCAGTTTCTGGGCTGGCAGACCTCAGGTCCTCGTGGCGGGAGTTGGGGTGGGCAGTCCCTGCACCCTCCTCTGGCTAGCTCCCTCATCAGTGTCCTCTTCCGGTCTGGCTTCCTTCTCCGCGAGTCTTCTCAGGGGTGCGTGGAGAGAGCCCTTCCACTGTATCTCTCCCTACCTCTTTCTTTGTTCTCTCCACAGTCTGTTTTCTTCCTCCTGATCTGATGTGTGTTTCTTTTTTGGTGGCTGTGTTTACATCCCGTCTCTGTCTTGTTTGTGAGTCTGACAGCAGAGACAATCTCTCAGGAAGCACATCCTAAGCGAAGGGGCTGAGCTCTGCAAGGGTGAAGTTGGAGGGGTGCCGGGAGCCAGCGAGAATTGCTCTTTTGAGATAGTTTCTAGAGATTTTTTTCCCTCTGACCTACATCATGGTTCCACGTCGGAGAACCAGGTCTAAACAGAAGTAATTCTTTAATTTTAGGTCTCTAACTCTTCTTGTAAAAAACAAGATGGATTTATCTGTCTTTATCCCTGCTTTCTCTTATATTCCAGGGCGGCCCTCACACAGCTTCTTTCCTCTCTCTCAAAAGGCCTAACCCCAGGTCCCACTCTGCGTCCCCACCTTCATCAGGCAGGGAGGAAAGGGATTTCCTTCCCCTCCCTGTCACCTGATGTAAGAAGTAGCTGGAAATATCCCGTGTCCGGGGGTCTGTGTTTCTTGCCTGCCAGTCTTTATATCAAGAGATACGAACCTTTTAACAAAGCAAACCAGGACCTTTATATTCTTGAAACATCTTCCAACCGTCCCCCTCAGTCCCTTTCTGCAGTAAGAGTCACTGTTTTAAGCACTGAATTCCAGGAAGGATGGTTATTGGTAATATCATTTAACGGCATGACTAATCCCCTTGCTGGAATAAAACTGGTGTGGGGCTCTGAGGCGGTGCCAGGAAGCTGCCACTGAAGAGGAAATCCATACCCTAAAAGCACCCTGTTCCATCTCCAGCTGTTAGGATATCACTCCAAAGGCCCTAATAGAGGGTTGCAGGCAAGTGCCGTGTCTGGCATGGACTGGGGATGGTCAGAACTCACAGAAGGGCCCAAGATGTGTTCCAGGAAGAAGACAGAAGGGATTTTTGGTTTCCACCTGCCTGGCACCCAGTGCTACTGCCCTGCCTGCTCACCTGTTCTGTCTGTGTGTACACCCCAGCAAAGACCCAGGATGGAGTGGCCCTGGAGATCCAACCACTCAATAGCCAGGAAGGGACCGACAGTGAGGAAAAGGAGAAAAAGGCAGCAAAGATGCCCAAAAAGGAGAAGTCGGTGCTGCAGGGCAAGCTGACGCGCTTGGCCGTCCAGATCGGGAAAGCTGGTGAGTAGAGGAGGTCCTTTGTTGTCGTCACTGTTGTTATGGTCGTTGAAGGGCTCTCAGTGGCATTCCTGGTCCTCCCTTCTTTGTACACCAGCCGGGACTGGCAGGGCAAAGAAGCCGAGACTTTTGAGTGGCTAATGGGCTCCAGGTAGCTGTGTCCCTCTCTAGTTCACTTCCAAGGCTTTTCCTCTGCTCCCCTTTGAGCTGGCAGTCCCTTCCAGAGAGACACGTGTTCTACACTCTGCTGGAAAATGTTACTCGTCTGTAAGGGCTATAGGCCCTAAGGTCTTTTTCATTCAAATAAGTGAGAAGTGAAGAGTTTCTGTCACAACATGGGAGATCTACATTAGCAAGAAGGAAGGCTGGGATAACTGCTTACCTGTCTCACATATTGGCTTGTGAATGCCTTAAGGCTGGAGAAGTCTGCAGTTTGCTGGAGACAGGTCCCTAGCATAATGGTAGCATCTGGCCAAGCTCAAAGCAGTGAGTTCAAATGAAGACTGGAGGGAAAGGAAGACAGTGGTTAAAGCAGCCCCTTCCAGAGGAGAGGTCACTAAACGTGTGCGATAGGAGGAAGCAGTTCTCCATCTCTGCATCCTCCTCTCGCCCACCACCCGCTTCTAATAGGGTAGGAGGGAACATGGAAGATTGCTCCTTCAGTGAGTGTATCCCTAAATATACTGTCTTTACCACTGTTTTGCCCTCCATGTGGGAGGCCCAGGTTCAATTCCCAGCCAATACACCTCATGTGCAGCCACCACCCGTCTGTCAGTGGAGGCTTTCATATTGCCATGATACTGAGCAGGTTTCAGTAGAGCTTCCAGACTAAAACAGACTAAGAAGAAAGGCCTGGCGATCTACTTCTGAAAATCAGCCAGTGAAACCCTGTGGATCACAACAGTCCGATCTGCAACCAAACATGGAGATAGCACAGGATCGGGCAGCGTTCTGCTGTGCATGGAGCCATCATGAGTCAGGGGCTGACCAGACGGCAGCAAACAATGACAGTTATTTTCTGACCCACCCCTCTGTTTACCGCAGTCATAATCTAGCTCAGTGCTTCTCTGTGTGTGCAGGTCACCTGGGGGTCTTGTTAAAGTGCAGATTCAGATTCAGGTGGTCTGGAATGGGCCTAAGATCCTACATTTCTAACAGGGCCCCCATGATGCCAGTGCTACTGGGCTGCTGACCACATGCTGGGTAGCAGGGGTCTGTGTTGTCCACTATGGTGGCCACTAGCCACAGGTGGCTGTTTAAATTTAAATTAAGTAAAATTCAATAAAATTTAAAATTCAGTTCCTTCGTCACATTAGCACATTCCAGTTGCTCAATAGCGATATGCCGCTATTGGCTACCATACTGGATAGCGCAGACGGACAGCATGACCAGTTTTGCAGAAAATTCTACTGGACAGGGTTAGTCTAGCCTACTCACTCAGTTTTAGTACCCAGCTAACTTTGACTACAGTGAAATCTCCTGCATGTAAATTACACACGGATGAGGCCAACTGCAGGTGCAGAATTAAGAATCGGGCCTGGCACATTGGTTTGAAACATGAAATAGACCCCACCTAACCCACCTGCTGTTCTCCTAACCCCTGCCTTATTCTCCATAGGGAGTGCAAGCTACCTGAAGGTTGGCCACGAGCCTTCTCAATTGTTTTATTTTATATATCAAGCAGGGCCGGACTAGGGTGAGGCAAGTGAGGTGCCTTGCATGACCCCGAGAGTGAGTGCCTCCTTCAATCTGGCACCCTAGGCACCTTGCCTGCCTCACTTTAGTCCTACCCCTGATGAAGGAAAGTCCAACAGACAGGCTTTCATTGATATAATCACTTCCAGCCTTGCCCTGAGACCCTCAGTGAAAGCAAAGCCCAAGACTAAACGGTGTTTCAGAGCAGAGCACTTTCTAAATACTGTGCCACAGATAGGTTACAAAGGTGCCTGGATATTGATCCCATCATCCCTCACAGTGGCCAGCTAGGCCAGTTGTTTTTTTGACGTTGAGCAGATTCTTCTATTTACCTCAGTATGTAGGGTGACCAGTTGTCCCAATTTGCCCCTCAAAATCCAGGAAACCACTTGTTGTTTCTAGGTGCTGTCAAGCTGATTCTAACTCATAGCAACCCTATGTAAAACGGAACGAAACACTGCCCGGTCCTGCGCCATCCTCACACAATCGTTGTTATGCTTAAGCCCATTGTAGCAGCCACTATGTCAATCCATCGTGTTGAGAGTCTTCCTTTTTTTCACTGACCCTCTACTTTACCAAGCATGATGTCCTTCTCCAGGGACTGGTCGCTCCTGATAACACGTCCAAAGTTATCACTTAGTCCTAGGCAAACTGGGATGGTTGGTCACCTCTCTGTGTCTTGGTTTCCTTGTCTTTCAAATGGGTATGATAACAGTAATCTCTCATAGGATTGTTGTAGGGATTAAATGAGTTAGTGTACATGAAGTACTTGCCTGATCCATAGTAAGCACTGTATAAGTGTTTGCTATTATTGTCATCTTCTATGTGTGCCATGAGAAGAGACGCTGGAAAGCACTGTTTAAGGGTTAGTCCCATAGCTAGTGTTCCAGCAGTACAGGGGTATCGATGTCAACAAGTTGTGAAGTGCCCAGGAATCACAGACTAGAAAAGAAGTCCCAGTGATGAACTTCTAATGGAAATCGGCAAATGCAATTACTACAGATATGAATTGTGGGAAGAGGGTGGGTGTATCTGGGATAGAATCATACAAGGCTATTTCAGGAAACTAGACCTAGCCCCTTATTTACAAATGAGGAATCTGGGGTAGGGAACAAGCCCAGAGAGGATAAACAGCTAGTCACAGCCATGAGTCAAGTTAGTGCAGTGCTAAGACTAGAACCTGTGTCTTTGGAATGAGAAACCAGTGTCTTTTCTACTGCACAAAAAAGGAGCCCTGGTAACGCAATGGTTTAGCACTCAGCTGCTGAAGTCTGTGGTTCGAACTCACCAGCCACTCCACGGGAGGAAGATGTGGCAGTCTGCTCCCGTAAACATTACAGTCTTGGAAACCCTGTGGGGCAGTTCTCTGTCCTAAAGGGTCGTTATGAGTCAGAATCAACTTAACGTCAACAGGTTTGGTTTTTGGGTGTGATGTACAAGCAACAGAGAGTGGGTAAGATGGATTTTGGTATGACTTCCTGGAGATGGTAGTTTTGAAAATTGGTAGCAAGGGAGAAAGGAAGACATAATGCTTAGGGGACACTGAGCTTCTGTTAAGGGTGATGGAAAAATTCACGAACAGTTAATGGTAATGGTTGAACAACATGGTGAACATATATGTCACTGAACTGTACATGTGAAGATTGTTGAAATGGCAGATGTTTTGGTACCTATATATTTACCACACACACAAAAATAATATTATGTGAGGAAAAAAACTTGTAGCAAAGGCTACAACTCTTGCCAGTCTACCTAGTCAAGGCCCTGGTGGCCCAAGGACCTTGGAACGCCCTCAAACCTGGGTTCATGTGACTTGTTTCCCTGGACAGGTTTGATCATGTCTGCTATCACAGTTCTCATCCTGATTCTCTACTTTGTGATTGACAACTTCGTGATACAGCAGAGGCCGTGGCTAGCTGAGTGCACGCCCATCTACATCCAGTACTTCGTCAAGTTCTTCATCATTGGCGTCACTGTGCTGGTGGTGGCTGTGCCCGAGGGGCTGCCACTGGCCGTCACCATCTCACTGGCCTACTCTGTGAAGGTGAGACTGTGCCAATACTGCCTTTTCCTCTAGGACAGAGATGGGGGGAGGCTACCATGTAGCCTTTGGTGAAGAAAACAGGCCATTTTATTCTCTGTGAACTTCGGGTGGTGCCTCACAAGTGCATGAGTCCCTGGCACTATGGAAGGACTGTCTTGATCAGTTGCATCAGTGTTTAAGTAAGTGGGTAGAATCTTAAGATGATTCACAAAAATGGTATCCTGCATTTTTATGTGGACAGATGTTGGCTAGGAAAGGGCCTTTGACCTGTATTCGGGAGGGTCCAGTTGGTTCCCTCTCAGTTTTTTTTCTTCTCCTTTGTAGAAAATGATGAAAGACAACAACCTGGTGCGGCACTTGGATGCTTGTGAGACCATGGGCAATGCCACAGCCATTTGCTCCGACAAGACTGGCACGTTGACCATGAACCGCATGACTGTGGTACAGGCCTATATTGGTGGCACCCACTATCATCAGATCCCAAGCCCTGATGCTCTCGTGCCCAAGGTCCTGGACCTTATTGTCAATGGCATTTCTATCAACAGTGCCTATACCTCCAAGATTTTGGTAAGCTCTCCTTTCACCTAGATGCTTAGAATGGATGATTGGAGGGGAATGTTTCTTCTGCCTGGTTTGTCGTCCCATGTCTCATTTCTTACTCCTCAGTGAACACTTTCAGGGTGAGACTGGGGAATAATCCATAGGGATGGAAGAAGGGTGGGGGGATAGGAGTCTGGCCATGAAATGCCCTCCAATTACCCTGTAAAGGCAGTATCTCTATGGAGGGACTTCATGCTGGTAGCAGAATTGAGCTTTTTAGAAGGAAATTACTCACTTTCCAGAAACTAAGAGAAGGCGTTAGAATAAGACCCAAACATACAGGGTGAGACACCACCTCTACCACCGGGGCAAACTGAAAAGGCCTGCATGGCTCAGGGTCCAAGGCCACCACTGACCACTGAATGCCTATCCTGGCACCAAACAAATGCCATCTCCCCCATGGCCCTGGGTACCTACGTGAACATTCTGTGAGGGAGTGCTTTCCTTCCTTGTTCTCTCCGTCTTACTCAACAGTCCCGTGTGTATTTTTCTCTCAGCCTCCAGAGAAGGAGGGAGGCCTGCCTCGGCAAGTGGGTAACAAGACTGAGTGTGCGCTGCTGGGCTTTGTCACAGACCTGAAGCAGGATTACCATGCAGTGCGTAGTGAGGTGCCTGAGGAGAAGCTCTACAAGGTGTACACCTTCAACTCGGTGCGCAAGTCGATGAGCACGGTCATCAGGACGCCCGACGGCGGCTTCCGCATGTACAGCAAGGGCGCCTCCGAGATCATCTTACGCAAGTGAGCAGCCCCTTCATGACCCTCCCCTCCGGAAGGTCTGGGGGACACGCCCCATGCCGAGCTCAGTGAATGATGAGACAGCCCTCCCTGCCGAGTGATGACATCTTAACTAGGATTTGAGCATTTACTCTGGCCAAGCATTGTTTTAAGTGCTTCACGAGGCTCCTGTTGTTTAACCTTCACAACAACTCAGTGAGGCAGGTACTATTATGATCCCTGTTATACAGATGAGAAAACAGAGGGTCAGGGAAGTTAAGTAACTTGCTCAAGGTCATATAGCTAACAGTGGCGTAGCCAGGATTCAGACCTAGGCAAGCCAAGCCTCTTTCCTAATTTGAAAACAGAGAGAGTAATACCCACCTACCTTATAGGGTTACTGTGATTATTAAATGATTCAGTATACATGAAGTGCTTCGCACGTAGTAGGTACTAGAAATGTTAGTTCTGAGTTCCCTTCTCCTTCCCATTGTCACATCCGATTATAAGGAACTCCAAAGGTCATTAAAAGCCGACCCTACCTGCCTAGGCAGCCAGTAGAACTGGCTTTAGCTACCTGCTTTCAGTCAACACATGTGGGCACTTCCTATGCACCGACCACTATTCTAGACACTGGGGGCTGAAAAAGCCTCTCTACCTTTGAGAAGTTCAGAAGAGCGAGTGATCTACAAATGACTCTTGGCATTACGTTCCCATAAGGGTAGAGACAGGTGACATGAGAGAACCACACTCTCTGCCGACCTGGACCTTACCCCATCCACAGGTCGCCCCACCTTGGACAGAGGGACCTCTCTGGGCCATGAACCAGCGTCTGTAGGAGTAATGCAGAGTTGTCCGTAGATGACTGTAGAAGCATGCTGAGTGGGAACAGGGCCGCTGCTTTCTGACCGTGTGCCTCTCCAGGTGTAATCGCATCCTGGACAAGGATGGGGAAGCAGTGCCTTTCAAGAGCAAGGACCGCGATGAGATGGTGCGCACTGTCATTGAGCCCATGGCCTGTGAGGGGCTCCGGACCATCTGCATAGCTTATCGGGAATTCAGTGACGCAGAGCCCTCCTGGGACAATGAGAACGAAATCCTCACTGAACTCACCTGCATTGCAGTGGTGGGCATTGAGGACCCCGTGCGCCCAGAGGTAAGGCTTTGCATTGGAGAGAGGACAAGGAAGCATGAGTGACACTTTTTCAACAGCCCGTAGCCAGTGCGCAGACCCATTGTGGCCTCATGGAGAGTACCTAGCAGTCGTGGGAGCTGGGATGCTAGCTCCGCCTCTAGTTGTGACCCCAGCAAGTGACCTCACTGCTTCTCACCTGCAGGGAGAGATGCTTCTGTGCTTCCTGCTTCTCAGAACTGCTGTGGAGTACTGAACTGATAGAAGGTGGCATTCCTAGGGTTAATGCTGTCTGAGTGGTGAGAAGCATAGATTTTATTGGGTTTATGATTTGGTAACTGGAAACAGTCAGGAGGCTTAATTAACTGGAGCACCGAGTCTGACTTTAACCACCTTCCCTCCATCAACATTTTGTTGTTGAGCACTATTCCAGACACTGGGGATTGAAAAAGTCTCTCTCCCTTCAAGAAGTTCAGACAGATGGACTATCAATTGTCAAAGCCCAGAGGTATAAGAGGAGGTCATGCATTTGGGAAACCACACAGTTGATGGGGTGGGAGCATGGGCTTGGTGGATGGGGAGTGGTTAAAATTCCTGCTAGAAAGCAAGGCAGTGGTCAAATGTCTAAAGGCATAGCTGCCCCACTGAGGAGTCTGAACTGTAAGTGGGAGAGTAAACGTCTATACCTGGATCTCAAAGCAAATTCTCCCTTCCACACATGGTACAATGAGGCCAGTGCAGATGTGAGTGTCATGGGATGCTCAGAAGTAAGGAGATGCCAAGCAGCATGACAATGACCACGCTTACCCTGTGTCCCATGGCACTGCTTCTAGGGTGCCTCTCTCCTCTATAATGAAAGGACAGCTGAACAGGGGCAGCTTACCCAGCATCATTGCACCCATCCCCTTCTTCTTTCTCTACTGTCACAGGTGCCAGAAGCTATTGCCAAATGCAAACGAGCTGGCATTACTGTCAGAATGGTGACAGGTGACAACATCAACACAGCTCGGGCCATCGCCACCAAATGTGGCATTCTGACACCTGGGGATGACTTCCTGTGCTTGGAAGGCAAAGAATTCAACCGACTCATCCGCAACGAGAAGGGCGAGGTGGGGCCTGGGTGGGGGAGCCAGGGCCTTGTTTGACAAGGGAAGGGTCAGTTCTGGTGGCAGGCATCTGGGGCATGTGGGAGAAAGTGGGTGGTTTTCAAACTAAAATCTATTCATAGTGAAACTTCCTTTTCTACCAAAGCTGCCCAGACGCTAAAATTGGGAATTTTCTCTCAGCTCATTACCTTCATTCACAAGCTATCCTTTGAGACAGTATCACAACTTTTCACGTCTTTCTGTTTTTTCAGTCGTGGAATGATTTTGTCCCACCTTCTGTGTCACTACCCTTGTGACTGATGGTGGCACAGCTTTGTAAGACAATGTGGTCTGGGTGTGGAACAGAGCAAAGCTTCCTGATCTCCGTAGAAATCAAACCTAAGAGCTCAGAAGCACCACTTTAGCCTCCTGAGCCAACAGCCAACCTTGCCCACTTGCTGTCAAGGGTTTAAGAAGTAGCAGATTGGCTCCCAGGTAGGGACCTGGGAGGAAAAAGTAGCCAAACAGGGTCTGAGTGGTCCCCTTCAATGAATCCGCCCTTGGAGACTGAGGTTGGCTGTGTCATCTGCATTGGTGGCCAGGAGAATATGTCCCCAGGGGCTGTGGAGTACCAGATCCTCCAGAAGCTCAGAGGGTATGGAGATGTAAGATTTTCCTGCACGGCTATCTGAGCTGAACTGACCCAGCTGTGGTCTGGTGTTGGCAGGTGGAGCAAGAGAAGCTCGACAAGATCTGGCCTAAGCTTCGAGTCCTGGCGCGGTCCTCCCCTACGGACAAGCACACGCTGGTGAAAGGTGAGGTCAGCTCCTGAGTAGTAGGTGCCTGGGACAGATGAAGGCGCCTGGGGCAAGGACAGACGAGACCCATCCGCCAAAGCAGCTCTCGTGTCCTGAGTAGGGATGGCCTAGGAGAGCTCCCAGGCTTACAGGGAGAATGTACAGTTAGCAAACATCTGAGCCCCTGGTAAGTATAAAACATAAAGTTGTTTCTTTTTTTAACATTAGTACATTTTATTTGCCCATAATACTGTGACCTAGGCAGGGCAGGTGAAACGATTCCCATTTCATAAGTAAGGAAGTTTGAGGCTGAGAAGATAGGTAACTTGCCCAGTTGCCCAGCTGATAAGTGGAAGTGGTATAGTTTGAACACCAAGTCTCCACTTTCAAACCCATCTAGTGCTTTTTCCATACATAATAGCTGCTGTACGGCACCGGGCAGAGTGTCTGACAAGGACAAACTGTCTGAGCCCAGAGGGCTATGAAACAGTTTCTCCTCTGTGTGATTCCTGTAGAACCTCCGGCACAGGGAAGAAGGAAGGAAAAAGGAAGGTAGAAGGGGAGGGGGGCGTGTGGCCAGGACCAGGGGAGAGGATTTGATGGGGAACACGGTGCTTGCCAAATGGCCTCAGACAGTACATGAGGGCTCACCACGTGTATGTGTGTCTCCCAGACAGCATGTGTGGGCTCACCATGCGTGTGTGTGTCTCCCAGACGGCACAGGTGGGCCCACCGTGCCTGTGTCTCTCAGACGGTACATGTGGGCTCACTGTGGAATGTGTGTCTCCCAGACGGCACACGTGGGCTCACTGTGCATGTGTGTGTGTGTCTTCCAGATGATACAGGTGGGCTCACTGTGGAGTGTGTGTCTGTGTCTCCCAGGCGGTACTTTTGGGTTCACTGCACTGTGTGTATCTGTTTCCCAGGCATCATTGACAGCACTGTGGGGGATCAGCGGCAGGTGGTGGCTGTCACTGGCGATGGCACAAATGATGGGCCAGCTCTGAAGAAAGCAGACGTCGGTTTTGCCATGGTAAGCAGCTCAGCGCAATGTCTCTAATGCAAGCTGCCTTCTCCACTGGGAAACCAAGGCAGACTTCTGGCACTGTGTTGCTTCCTGAGCCTTCACATCCCTCCTTGCGCTTTGTTCTCTAACTCCATCTCTCCCAACTACCTTGTCAATAATACTGTGTGTAATGGGGACCCATCAAATATAAAGAACAGATGATACACAAGGAGAAATCATGGAGTGTCATGACCCAGGAAAGCAAGACCAACTTAAACCTGCCCAAGAACATGGCGAGATAGTCTGCCTGGGCAAACTCTAGACAAGTCCACATTCCATTTGGAATATGTACGATCTGGCCAGCTCTCTGCTTTTCACTTTGAGGCTGGTAACAGCAGAATCACCTAGAGAGCTCGCTGAAAATCACATATTCCAAGGTTTCGTACTTTGATATCTTGATCCAGTAGGGTTTGGGTGGATCCCAGAATTTTTTTTTTTTTTTTTAAACAGGCATACCAGTTGATTCTGATGTTCAGGGAGTTTTAGAAGCCCCAGATTACAAAGCGTATCCTCACACTCAAGTAGCTTATAACTGAAAGCCTTCCATACATATTAAACTGTTGGTGATTTTTAAGCAGTGGAAGGAGATTCAAGAAGCTCTCTTTTAAAAAAAAAAATTCTTTTATTATAGGAAATATCAAGAATATACAAAAGTAGGGAGAATAATATAATGGTATAATGAATCCCCATGCCAGCCAGCTTCACGTGGCCAATCTTGTTTCATCTTATCCCTCCACCTACTTCCCCCTTCCAGAGCTGAATTGTTTCAAAGCAAGTTCGAGATATCATTGTCCTTTCATCCATAAAAATTTCAGCACGTCTCTAAAAAAATAAGTATGTATCAATAAAACATATCTAAAAGAATCATAATACTCTGTCACATGGGGTCACTGTGAGTCGAAAATTGACTCAACAGCGCCCAGCAACACTGGTTAACAGGACCCTCAAAGAGGCCTCGCACAGTGGGGCCTCCCGCCCTGGGGTTCTCAGTGCAGTCCGAATAATTTGGTTCAGTCCTTGGTTTTAGACGACTGCCTAAAGTCAGTCAGTTCCAAACGGTTTGGCTGGTCTGTGACATCAGCTTGTCCTCCTCAGGAGGGTGGACGGCACCCGGAGCTGTTCTGGGTGACCGTGCAGGAGCAGGCCACCTGCTGTCTCAGTCAGCTGTGAAGGTAGCTCAGCAGCCTGAGTTCGAGCTCTCACCACAGCTTGGGAGACAACGCGGCTGATTTTCTCCAGGAGAGCGGAAGCTTTCAGGAGCAGCTCTGAAAAACAGAGATCACTAATGCCCTCCTCCCTGCCCCACACCTCCTCAGATCCTGGGTTTTGGGGTTTTTTTGTTTTCGCCCGTTGTTACATAATCAGTGCGTCCCATTCAGTAATCACAGCTTAAACTTTCTCCCGGCCATGTTTGATTCTCACCCATACCCTTCATCTGGAAAGGCTGGGTGCGAGAGAACACCAGCACTCTCGCAGAAGGACATTTTTGTATAGCTGCCCACATCAGTTCAGGAACTGGTCAGAACAAAATCCTGAATTTTCAGAATTGTCAAAATGGGTCTACGTAAACCTCTCCCTACCCCTTTTGTCCTGATCGTTTATCCAGTGAGCAACCTAGAAAGGATCGATCCCTTTCCAGGGACAGCTGCATTTAATGTCATACTGCCTTACTGAAGTGTGTGTATCAGGAGAAAGGTAAGGGACATAGAGTCAGGTGATCAGTCCCTTGTCACAAACTGCAACTCATTTAGAGAGCTGAATACAACAGTCAGCCACAGTGAGACATCCCCCAGAGGGGTCGAGAGTGATCTGTCAGAGGTGGGTGGAGGGGTCACACTTCCTGTGAACCCCTCCTACTTGTAGCTTTCGGCAGGGATCACAAGTTAGGAGCACAGTTAGCCTCTGTATGGGAAACACAGCCGAGCAGCAGCTCAGTTTCAGATGGTCCCATTAGAGAACAAGCCTGCGGGCATTAGTGTGTGACTCAGATGGTCCAGCCAACGTCTACAACATTTCCAAAGTTTAGGGCCCTGAAGAGGGCTGTCGTAATCCGTAACAGTCGATGATCTGGGTTCTGTTCATTGAGCTGATGCCTGCTTTCAGTTCAGCATAGCCAGTACTGAAGCTGAGATAGCCCATAGCAGACAGTGTCAGGTTTCAGCCTAGAGGATGAGCCAGGCAATTAAACTCAGCTGCCATTGAGTCGACTCTGACTCGTGATGACCCCTGTGTGTTAGAATAGAACTGTGCTCCATAGAGTCTTCAACGGCTGAATTTTCAGAAGTAGATTGCTGGAACTTTCTTCCAAGGCACCTCTGGGTGGACTCCAACCTACAACATTTTGCTTAGCAGTAGAGCTTGCTAGCCATTTGCACCACCCAAGGACTCCATCCAGGTAATTAAGATCTGTGAATTCAGAATTCCAAAAAAGCCAGCGGCTTTTCTTCAGCAGCAGCAAAGCTAAGATGCTACAGGACCTACCCAGTCCAAGTGAGAAGCAAGGCTTTTCTAAGCCTTTTATTTTGTAGGTCTTAAGGTCCAAATTCGGAAACCCTGGTGGCATAGGCGTTAAGAGCTACAGCTGCTAACCAAAAAGTTGGCAGTTCAAATCCACCAGGTGCCCCTTGGAAGCCCTATGGGGCAGTTCTGCTGTGTCCAGTAGGGTCGCTATGAGTCAGAATCGATTCGACGGCAAAGGGTTTTAAGGTCCAAATTGAGGAGCCCGGTGGTACAGTGGTTAAGCAATTAGCTGCTAACCGAAAGGTCAGAGGTTTGAACCTACCAGCTGCTCTGCAGGAGAAAGATGTGGCAGGCTGCTTCCGTAAAGGTTACAGCCTTGGAAACCCGATGGGACAGTTCTACTCTGTCCTGTAGGGTTGCGATGAGTCAGAATAGAGTCCATGGCACACAGCAACACCAACAAGGGTCCAAACTGACCTACTCAGAAAATTGCACATCAGACTGGGAAATCCTCAGCCCCTAAGGGTCAGACATTCGATTCTGAAGAGCTCATTAGCAAACTAAAGTGCTTTTTAAAACTCCAAAAGTGTATCTCCACCTGGAGATGACCTCACTTTTCATGTTATCTCCCCGCTCCTCCCTCACCACCTTTTCTTTTCCCCAGAGGCAAAAATCATAGTAATAATCATCACTCGTGGTACTTGTTTTGTTTCTAATACTCAGAGAATTTAAATTCCAATCTGCCCACCAGCAGCAGCAGCAAAAAGCAAGGGAGTTGTGTCCCATTAACATTTCTCTTTGTAGCTTCCCCTGATGGTGGTGATTCCTCTAACATTTATGAGATAATAAACATTAATATTTTACATCCATTTTTATCATATCCAGATGCAATTAGCAAAAGCTTTTGCTGTTTTATTATTACTCCCTTTTTCTCTTCTCATTGCAAGTTTTCCCCCTCATTGCAAGCTTACTCAAACCCCTTGCAGTAAATTCAGCATTTAAGGGCTGGGGGTGGGGGTGGGGGCAGGAAGGGAGACTGCTGCTGCAATAGCTATAAAAGCGGTATACTCGTTGCTGTCAAGTCAATTTTGACTCATAGCGACCCTATAGGACAGAGTAGAACTGCCCCATAGAGTTTCCGAAGAGCGCCTGGTGGATTCGAACGGCCGACCTTTTGGTTAGCAGCCGAGTTCTTAACCACTGTGCCACCGGATTTGCATAAAAGCAATATAGATAGGCTGAAGAAAAGTCTGGAGTGATTTTCCCCTCCCTTTTTTTCCCCTCTGATTTATCTAAAGCCTTACTCTAGCCCTGGAAAATGATTTAACCTTTTTGCTCCCAACTGGAGGAGAGAGCAGTGCAGTTTCAACCTCTTTGGTCCACCCAAAGCTCACCTTTAGTCCTTTCCCCTCCCACCTGGACCAGAGGGCAAAAACTAAAGGCGTCACTGGGCTGCTCTTTTTTCTCACAGTTAGCTAGCATGGCAAAAAAAACAGCAGGGGATCCAGCAGCCAGCTCTCCTGAGGCTGGGTCTATTTTTTTCAAATTCTATGGGTAACTACCTCTCAGACAGCAGCTCAGCTACTCTTTCATACCACGGGTAATTCTATAGCCATCCAAGTACCAGGGCTTCATCACCCCACCCCTCTCTCTTTCTTTTTCCCAAGTAACATTCTAGGCATATTTCAGTGAGTTGGGATCAGTCTAGCGAATCCCACTGCTGCCACCACTGAGGGGTCCCCAAGACCACCCCTGCAGTCAGAGATTCACCAGGACTTATGGAACTCAGCATATAGTTGTACTCATGGCTAAGATTTATTACAGTGACAAAGCAAGGCTAGGTGGCTGAGCCATAGGAGCGAAAGACACAGGCGGAATCTAGAGGAACCCATGTGCAGGCTTCCCATGTTCTCTGCTTCCCACGAGGGGTCACACAGCGCGTACTCTCCCCCCAGCAATGAAAATGCAGCAACATGTATGCAATGTTTCTGTCCAGGGAAGCCCATTAGACTCAGAGCCCAAGGGTTTTATTGGGACTGGTCACACAGATACCCTTTGCCTAGCACATACCAAAATTCCAGACTCCCAGAAGAAAAGCAAGTGTTCAGCAGAAACCATAGCATTTGCACGAACAGTCGAGGCTCAGTCAACTACTCTTATCAGTTAACTGTTGACAGGGAATACTGTGAGAGCCAAGTTTCCAGACACCAGTCAAGGGCCAGCCTTGCAAGCAGGCCTCCCTAAGGAGAGCAGTCTCAGGCCTGCTATATTAACTCTTTCTGCGCCACCCCCTTCCATCTTTTCCCCACTTACAATTTAGTTTTGAAGAAATCAGGCTATTTGTCTTGTAGAGTATCCCACAGTATGGATTTTGCTTATTCCATCCCCGTGGTGTCCTTTAACATATTTTTTGTCCCTTGTATTTCCTGTAATCTAGTAGTTCTAGAAATCATCGGATTCTAGATCCTTTATTTTTTGGTGCAGCAGTTAAGCATTCAGCCGCTAGGTCAGCAGCTATCAGCTGAAAGGTCGGCAGTTCAAACCCATCCAGGGCTCTGTGGGAGATAGACCTGGCAATCTGCTCGCATAAAGATTACAGCCAAGGAAACCCTGTGGGGCGGTTCTCCTCTGTCACATGAGGTCACTGTGAGCCGAAAATCTACTTGACAGCACCTAACAACAACATAACAGGAGTTTCTAGAAGTGATCAGATTCTGGATCCCTTATTTTATTAGGGGCTGCAAAATAACTAATATTCTGATTCTTTATTTATTAACTAGAAAATGTCTATAAAAAGAAATGTCCCCGCATCAACTATTTGGTTACTCTGAGGTTCAGTTCCTACATAAAAGACAGGTTAATGCTTGATTCTTTTCCTTTATCTACCAGTTTTCAAACTAATGAGTTGGCATCTTAGGATCCTCCAAAGGTGACCAGTGAGTTGCTTGATTTTTTTTTTTTTTTTAAGTTTCATTATAAGCTCATGGATTTAAGTATATTTGATGTGTTTCAATCCATTGCACCTTTAGCCAGTAGAAGCCTCTTCAAGATTGCTGAGTCTTTGTGATACAATCCTAGTGGTCTTTGATAGCTTTCTTGGTTTCTTGCATGTAAGCATTTATGTTCTTGGATAAAAGCTGTGCTTCAGGAACAGGAAACTTTCCAGTCTGGCAGTCAGTGTCCCCCATTAGTGAATCCTGATTCATTTTCCAATCTTCTCTTATATGACCTTTCGGTTCAGAACTTACAGGCTTATTCACGACTCCCTGAATCTCTCAAGATATCTTGTGTATATATTTTTTTCTAGATCTGGAACCACCCATTTCTCAAAGGGGTCCTGCTTTATTTTAGTGATAAATCATATTTAGAGGACCTGACCTGAAAACTAGGGTGTTCCTTGCTACTGAGGAGATCATTGTTTCTAGGTCATTTTGGGAAATTTCTAGGAAATAGCTCTCTTTTTTTTTTTTTTTGAACTCTTTACTTCATGAATTCATGTAAAAATTTCCAATTCAAATTTAGAATTATAGAACTTCTATTTAACTTCTCTGATTTTATATTTGTATGCAGTAGTGTTTGGTTCCTAATGGCATTAACATAATTATATGTTTGTGTTATCTTAGAATATATGTAATAGTTTAGAAATCAAAATATTAATGTTGTTAATAATAATAATACATTAGTTGTTGTTTTGTGCCATGGAGTTGATCTCGACTCATAGCGACCCCGTAGGACAGAGTAGAACGGCCCCATGGGGTTTCCAAGGCTGTCATCTGTACGGAAGCAGACTGCCACATCTTTCTCCCACAGAGCAGCTGGTGGGTTCGAACCGACGACCTTTCAGTTAGCAGCTGGCAGCCAAGCACTGCACCACCAGGGACCCTTTCATAATACATTTACCATACTAAAAAACAGTGAAAGATTTTTTCCTTGTAGTTGTTTTTATCCTGTGGGTAGATCCTACTCGGGATGTTCCATCAAATTACAGTGGTTTGAAGTCTTTTGAAACATTTCTTGTTTGTGTGGTTATGACCCCAACTGGCTGCACCAGTTCACATAGATCATGTTGCCTTCGATTTTAAGGATTGCTTTTTAAATTTAATTTAAGTTTATATTTGTAAAAAATAGTTACATAGTTCTAAAGTCAAATATACAAAACAGATTTATTGGTAGAAATCTAACTTCCAGCCCTGTTACCTCCACCCATTGCCTCCCTTTTAACTTCACAGGTAGTTTCCTTAGTTTTTGTTTTATCCTTCTGTTTAAATATGAACAAATATATAAAATATAATCAGATGCATACAATATTTATGTCTCACCCTATTAGGTAAATGATGCAGTACTATACACCCTTTTTCCCACCTTGCTTTTTTCATTTAACATAAACTGGAGATTATTCCATAGTAGTGCATAGAAATAGTCCTCATTTCTTTTTGCAGTGCATGGTATGGCACTGTATTGATGATTACCCCCCCAAAAAACCAAACCTGTTGCCATTAAGTCGGTTACAACTCATAGCGGCCCATTTTTATGGGGAAACTGAATTGTATAGTCTATCTAACAGATGGAGTCCCTGGGTGGTGCGAACGGTTAAGGCACTCAGCTGTGGCAGTTCAAGTCCACCCAGCAGTGCCTCGGAAGAAAGGCCTGGTGATCTACTTCTGAAAAATCAGCCATTGAAAACCCTATGGAGCACAGTTCTACTCTGACACACATGGGGTCACCATGAGTTGAAGTTGACTTAATGGTAGCTAGTTTTTTTCTTATCTAGTAGATATTTGTTGCAATCTGGAGAGAAAAATAATACTACCAGGTATAGTGTTGCTATCAGTGGGAATCCATTCGACAGCAACGGGTTTTTTTTTTTAAAGAGAACAAATAACCTACCAGTATAATCTACCAGTACAAGCTTAATTAGAGAATAAACTCCTCTGTGGACTGTAGGAGTCACAAAATGTGGACTAGAATGTGGGCTGGAGATACTAGCGACGGCTTCGCAGAGTAAGTAGGGCTTAATTGGATGGGACCTTAAAGATAGATAGGATTTAAATAGGTAGGGAAAGAAGATGTTCCAGGTTTGGGGAAATGGTGTCAGCCTACAGAAGTGAATGAGAGATTCAGGGAGTTGTGAATAAACCAGTAAATTCTGAACAGAAAGGTTATATAAGAGCAGATTGGAAAATGAATCAGGATTCACTCACTGAGGGCATTAACTGCCAGCCTAGAGTTTCCTACTCCTAAAGCACAGCTTTTCACCATTGCTACGTCCATTCAGAAGCCTTTAATGGTTACCCAGTGACAGGATTTTGAACTAGAACAGGACATCTGAACTGTGCTGCCAGACAACTCCTCCTAGAACAAAATGCAGGGTGACTTTAAGGTGTGCGAGGAGACAAGTGCTTAAATGAGACTCTGGCAGTGGGAAAAGAAATTTAAGAATTTGGAGGTAGACTTGACAGTACATAGAAACCTTTTAATTGTTTCTAAGGAAGGGAAGGAGGAAGGGCAATCAAAGATGACTATAATTTCCAATCTGGCTTCAGCAGTAAGGTGGTGGCTTCAGGCTCCAGTCCTCTTTTCTGTGAGAAACAGTGACACATTTTCTCTTCATTTTCTTCAGGAGGGAAGAGAGCTGGAAATATGGTGGTTTGAGTCTTAAGAGTACTTGTGTGGCTAGAGTGCCATCTAGTGTTTATGCCAAGTTCTGAAGCTACTTTGTGGTGTGCCCTCGAGTTGATTACAACTCATAGCGGCCCTAGGACAGAGTAGAACTGTCCCACTTTGTTTCCTAGGCTGTAATCTTTATAGAAGATCACCAGGTTTTTGCTCCCAAGGAGCAGCTGGTGGGTTCAAACTGCCAACCTCTTGGTTAACAGCCGAGCTCTTAACCATTACACCACCAGGATGCCTTGAAGCTTCTTAGAGGACAGGAAATGGAGTCTGGGCTCAGAACCTTGCTGTAGATGATGTTAGGTGCCATTGAGTCTATTTTCAACTCATAGCAACCCCATGTGACAGAGTAGAAGTGCCCATAGGGTTTTCTAGGTTGTAATCTTTATGGGAGCAGATCTCCAGGTCTATCTCCTGCAGAGCTGCTAAGTGAGCTCAAACTGCCAACCTGTTGGTTAGCAGCTGAGCGCTTAATCATTGCACTAGTAGGGCTCCTTATAAACCCTGCTTTATCCATTTCCTTACTGTTTTCCTTCCTCTTCTTACCTCAGGGTATTGCAGGCACAGATGTAGCAAAGGAAGCATCAGATATCATCCTAACAGATGACAACTTCACCAGCATTGTAAAGGCAGTGATGTGGGGACGAAATGTCTATGACAGCATCTCCAAGTTCCTTCAGTTCCAGCTCACTGTCAATGTGGTGGCCGTGATTGTGGCCTTCACTGGAGCCTGTATCACTCAGGTAAAGGAGTGAGGGGTCAGCTGAAATCTGAGGGCTGAGGCTGAGGCTAAGGAACATGGGGTATGGGGTACAGTGTGTCTACTGAACAGCAAGGGCGAAGGTTTCCCCAGTGGTATTGGGGGCAGGAGTTAGCTCTACTAGGTCCACTGTCTCCATCTGTTTATGTGGGGTGATGATAATTTATCCACCATTTATTTAGCATTTATGTGTCAGCCACTGTGATGAGCACTTAAATGTACTATCTCTAGTCTTCACAAACAAGCTTGCAAGGTAGGTATTACTATCCCTATTTTACAGGTGAGAAACCTGAGGTTCAAAGAGGTTGAGTAACTTTCTCAGGGTCACTCGCTAATAATGAGTGGTAGAGCCAGATTCTAAGTCTAGCTGGGTAACGGGAGAGAGGCCATGTCAAGAGTAAAGGCAGAGCTGATGAGTAAGGTGGGGTGGTTTCTGGGGAAAGCTAAAAGGACTGGTTCTTCTTCCCACCAGGACTCTCCATTGAAAGCCGTGCAGATGTTGTGGGTTAATCTAATCATGGACACTTTTGCCTCATTGGCCCTGGCCACAGAGCCTCCAACAGATTCTCTGTTGAAGCGTCGCCCCTATGGCCGACATAAGCCTCTTATCTCACGTACTATGATGAAGAACATCTTGGGTCACGGAGTCTACCAGCTCACTGTCATCTTTCTCCTTGTCTTTGCTGGTGAGCCACAGGTGGGATTGGGGCTGGTGGGGTAGGTGGAGCTGGGACAGAGGCTGGCAGCCTGAGGAAAGGAGGCAGCATGGGGACAAGCGGAGCACGAGACTAAGGACGAGAGCAGCTTCACTCACAGAGGGTTTTATGCATCATGCTGTTTCATGTGCTCCTGTTATGAATCTCACAAGGGTGGTGTTATGAACTGAACTGTGTCCTCACAAAGTACGTGTGGTCAATCCTAACCCCTATACCTGTGGTTATAATCCCATCTGGGAATGGGTTTTCTTTGTTATGTTAAGAGGCCATGTCAGTGTGGGGTGTGTTTTAATCCAATCACTTGATATATAAATAGAGCAGATTAGGCATAGAGAGATGGGGGAAGAGATGCCAAGCCACTGAAGATCACCCAGGAGTAGAAGCTGAAAAGAGACAATGACCTTCCCCGAGAGAGGACAGAGAGAGAAAGCCTTCCCCTAGAGCCAGCACCCTGAATTCGGACTTCTAGACTCCTAAACTGTGAGAAAATAAATTTCTGTTTGTTAAAGCCACCCACTCAATGGTATTTCTGTTATAGCAGCACTAGAGAACTATGGCAGGTGGCTTTTGGGTACCTTTTTCATAGATGTGAAAACTGAAGCTCAGTTCACATAGTGGCACTAAGATTTAAACCTATGTCTACCTGACTCCAGTGCACACCATCTTACCACCAGGGTACACTGCAGGAATGCAAGTGTCAATGGGGCAAACTGATAGAGGGGGTCAGCTAGGTTGAGACCAGGTGTAACATTTAAAATACAGCAAAACCTGCAAAAGCCGGAACCTGTGTAAGGTGGAAACCTGTCAAAGAAGGAAAACTCAAATATTTTCCACTAAAACAAGCAAGAGAAGAGTGGTAAGGCTGCACCCTGTCACATGTGGAAAACTTGCGAGACCTGGAAAAAGAAGGCAGTCCCACTGAGTTCCGGCTGTCACAGGTTTCACTGTATTTGATAACAGCTTAGTATAGATACTGACCGATTAGAATGGATACCAAGACATCAGCACCAGGATGGCTGTACCACTGAGTTCTGGCTCAACCTGAGCCCTAGCTGAGACCAGCACTTCCCTTCTCCCCACTAGGTGAGAAATTCTTTGACATTGACAGTGGCAGAAAGGCACCTCTACACGCACCACCCAGCCAACACTACACCATCGTTTTCAACACCTTCGTGCTGATGCAGCTCTTCAATGAAATCAACTCCCGCAAGATCCACGGAGAGAGGAATGTCTTTGCAGGCATCTTCCGCAACCTCATCTTCTGCTCTGTGGTCTTGGGCACATTCATCAGCCAGGTGAGGGTCTAGCTGAGGTTGTGGTAGGAAGTCTGGGATGAGACAGGCCAGAAGGTGGGAGTCGGGATTCCCTACGTACCCAGGAGGAAGAATGGAGGAGTCATGGGGGCTGAGGTTGTGGGCTGAACACTTAGGGGCTCCCAGTTTGCTCCCCTTTGCACACTGCTCCAGAATTGGAGCCCTACTTGGGTCAGGTGTCCAGTGCAAGGCAGTATGTTGGCAGCAAATCAAATAAGACTTATCGGATCCTTTCATTATATTTCTGAAACACAGAAATGACACCAAGTGCCCAATAGGAGAGTCACTCTCTTCTAGCCCCTGCCAGCACACACAACATGTGTTTGCAGATGCAGTATGGGCTCGCTCCCTGTCCCTGTCCCTTCTAAAACAGCTCATTGTAGAAAGTGTGCAATTCACAGAGAAAGAGAAGTGGCGGGCTGGCTTGTATGTAGTTGACAAAATAAGCCTGGCTTGGGCTTGTCCTGTGGGCACTGGGGTGAAGGGCATGGCTGCCTTGCTGGTAAAATGATCGTGTCCCTTCCTTCCTGCCCTGGCCAGAGGTACCCATCCTGGATTCCTCTTCTCCATCACTGTGCCTTCCCTTTGTCACCCAGTTCTTTGTGTTAATGACAGCCACAAGAAGCCTCCAGTGCCCCCAACTCCCCCAGTTCTTGTGTTAATGATAGTCGTGGTAACTGCATCTGTCTCCCCCTTCAGAGTGTCTATAAAGGCTATTCGTGTCTGTCTCTTCTTCTAGATTTCTTCTGTCCCCTCCTCAACAAGCTGATCAAGGCTTCCACAAAAGGGATCCTGGGCAGGGGGTTGTTACGGCTTTGGTAGGCCTTGGCTGGAGTGCTAGCTACCTGTACTCACCTCCCTGATGGTGGGCTGTTGCTTTCTCTGTTGTAGATTATCATTGTGGAATTTGGGGGTAAGCCTTTCAGTTGCACAGGCCTCACCCTGTCCCAGTGGTTTTGGTGCCTCTTCATTGGGATTGGAGAGCTGCTGTGGGGCCAGGTGAGTACGGGCACACCCTCCCCATGCCTCTGCACAGCCGGCAGGCCTCCTGCTGGAGATGAGAGGCAGCAAGCAACTGTGGACACTCCCTGCTCCTCTCTTCCTCACCTCCTCCACGCCTACTCCCCAAGTTTTCACGTTTTTCCCATCTCAGAGGACCCCAGAGCGGAATGATCAGTGCCCTCCACTTCACAGGCTTCAGATTGCTTCTGTAACCATGCCTGGAGGCAGGCAAATCCTTAGCTTCTCTCAGATGGGAGTGGAACTTTTCTGTAGAATTTTGCTAAGAAATTAAGGAGGCTTAGAGGTAGAAGCCCATCTAGAAGCACCTTGGAAAAAAGGCCTGGCAATCTACTTCTAAAAACAATCAGCCATTGAAAACCCTATGGAGCACAGTTCCACTCTGACATACACAGGGTCACCATTAGTCAGAACGGATTTGACGGCGACTGGTACTGGTTAGAAGTAGCAGAGTTTACAAAGCACGTGTCTTTATTCTAATGAAGCTGAATTCTGGCCACCAGCTGCTCTGCTGACATAGTTTAGGGCTCCTGGGTCTCTTCTGTTTCTCATCATGGCCTGACTGTCACCTGCGATAAATCCAGATTTAAAAGATCTCTTTGAAAAAAAAAAAAAAGATCTCTTTGAAGGCAAGCTGGCATACGGTTCAAAGCGTGGGCTCTGGAGCTGAGTCCCAGCTCTGCTTTCCACAAGCTGAATCACCTTGCACAAGTTGCTCAGCCGCTCTGTGCCTCAGTTGCCTCAACTGAGGATAACAGGGTCATTGTTAATCAGTAAATCAGTTATTATACAGAAAAGGCTTAGAACACTGACTAGTACCTTGTATGTTGTTGCTAGGTACTGTCATAGCGACCCTACGTACAACAGAACGAAACACTGCCCGGTCCTGCGCCATCTTCACAATTGTTGCTATGTTTGAGCCCATTGTTGCTGCCACTGTGTCAATCCATCTCGTTGAGGGTCTTCTTCTTTTTCGCTGACCCTCTACTTTATCAAGCGTGATGTCCTTCTCCAGGGACTGGTCTCTCCTGATAACATGTCCAAAGTACATGAGACAAATCTCACCATCGTCACTTTTAAAGAGCATTCTGGCTGGACTTCTTCCAAGACAGATTATCGTTCCTTAGGCAGTCCGTGGTATATTCAATATTTTTAACACTTTAAAGAGGTCTTTTGCAGCAGATTTCCCAATGCAATGTGTTGTTTGATTTCTTGACTGCAGCTTCCATGGGCGCTGATTGTGGATCCAAGTAAAATGAAATCCTTGACAACTTCTATCTTTTCTCCATTTATCATAATGTTGCTTATTGGTCCGGTTGTAAAGATTTTTGTTTTCCTTATGTTGAGGTGCAGTCCATACTGAAGGCTGTAGTCTTTGATTTTCATCAGTAAGTGCTTCAAGTCCTCTTCACTTTCAGCAAGCAAAGTTGTGTCATCTGCACATCACGGGTTGTTAATACATCTTCCTCCAATTGTGATGCCACGTTCTTCTTCACATAGTCCAGCTTCTCAGGTTATTTGCTCAGCATACGGATTGAATTAGTACGGTGAAAGGATACAGCCCTGATGCACACCTTTTCTGGTTTTAAACCATGCAGTATCCCCTTGTTTCTGTTCAAATGGCTGCTTCTTGGTCCATGTACAGGTCCCGCATGAGCACAATTAAGTGTTCTGGAATTTCCATTCTTCCCAATGTTATCCATAATTGTTAAAGTACCTTGTAAGTGCTCAGTAAATGTTAGCTATAATAATATTATAATACCACCAACTCTAGTAAGAGTTTCATTCTTTCCCTAATACCACTTGGTAAGTCCCCCTCGTCCTCAGCTCTGACCTGGGCTGTACTTCTGTTGATTGTCCTGGGTGCCCATCTATCTCGATAATGGAGGCTTTGTACTAACTGGCCCCAAAAAGCCCTCCCTGGGGCTGCAGGCCTTCCTCCGCAGATCTGCTGGTTGTTTCTTCTACACGTCCTAGAGGTCTCCCCTAGTAAGCCCCATCCCAGCTCCTGAACTGATTCCATCCATCCTGTTCTGTTTGCTCCCTAAGCAGTTTTAAACTTGGGTGAAGCTTGGCTGTTTCACCTACTATTTGAAACTGCCATCTGGGATTAGTCTCACATGTGGCCACGAGCCCTCGATGCCAGATAACAGCCTTTCTTTGTCTCACCTCTGAAAGCAGAACTTTGACACTCTTCCCATTTCAAAACTCTGGGCTCTATATTGGACCCACCCACAGTCCCTCTTTCCCATCTGAGCCCTGTCTGATCCTCATAGTCCTTGTAAAGGGGAGCTGACTGGCAAGTACTAAGCTCACTAAGTCATTTACTTTGAATTGAAAGCCCAACCTACGGCTCCTTGTCTTCTGATAATACTCCTTTGTCCCTTCTTCCATGGTATGTCCCACCTACTTCCTCACCCCAACCCCAAGAAAATTTTTAGTATCTTTTCACTATAGTTTTATAGCACAGACGTTACTTTTCATGTGGTAACTAAGAATAGGGTCATTCCTTTCCAACACTCTTCTCTACCACTTGCCTACGCAAATACAATATATCTATCCTCTCTCCATGCTTGTTTTCCCCAGGTCCTGGTCGCTGTCCTTTCCTACTACGAACCATGCATATAGTTCTGATTCCCTTTAAGTACAGATGAAAAGGAAGAACTGAGACAGGAGGAGAGTGAAGTACATAACTAGGCGGAGGGCTAGTTGATTGCTAGACCATAAGCTCCCCTTTGAATGTCCACAAATATACAAATACTTGCCCTGGTAGGCATTTGGTGAATGTTTGCCTAAAGGATTAAAAAACTTCTCCCCACTGTTCCCCAAGTGGAAAGGGTGATAGGGTCAAGAATGGCCTATCCATGGACCTGGCCCATGTAAATTGAGTGACTGCCCTTCTCACCCCAAACCTGGTATCTCTCCTTTATTTATACCTATGCTCAGGTAATCTCTGCAATACCTACCCAATCCCTGAAGTTCCTGAAGGAGGCTGGACATGGCACCACCAAAGAGGAAATCACCAAGGATGCTGAGGGGATGGACGAGATCGACCATGCTGAGATGGAGCTGCGCCGAGGCCAGATCCTCTGGTTCCGGGGCCTGAACCGTATCCAGACTCAGGTACCCTGATAGTGACCTGTCCTCACCCTGGGAGAAGAAACCTCCATCTTGGGAGGTGATGGGAGGGTGGCAGTTCTTGGTGGCCAGTGTCTCTCCCCTTCCTAAGGCTCATTACTAACAGGCGGTCCTAGCTCCCTAGCCTCAGGTCAGACAGGGGCAGAGGTATGTGAGTGGGCTCTTCTGAGATGAGAGTAGTCATGGGCCCTAGTCCTTTAGCTTAGGGTTGGCTCTAAAGCCCACCCCCCAATCCCCCTCGGGTGGGCAGACTTCCTGCATAAGGTCTCTTGCAAGCACTGGACCTAACCTCAGACCACAGGGTGGGAAACGTTCAGAGTCTTTCCCTAGCCCTCAGAAAGAAGGAATGGGACAATATCTCTGTCCCAGCACCCCAGCAGATACTTAATGTGTCTGCATATCCTCAAGCTGCTGTTGTAATGCGGATGTTATCTGGAAGGATTTTTGTTAAAAAACCCACCCTCTCATTTCTTCCCCACTGAAAATGTAAGGCCATGATGGGGAATCTGATGGTTATATGTGTATAAACAACCAGTCTTTCGATGCCTGCGTATCTTTTGCAGGATCCAGACTTGCTTCCCAAAACAAAAGAAGCTATAATTTTATCAAAACTTTCCCTCCTTGCGATTTCTCAAATGGGATGGAAGCTCTCCTGGTGCTCCTGAGTCACCTGCCTATAGCCCTAAGTCACTGGTTTTTTACATCCATTCAGCTGGTCTAGGCAGTGATAATTCTCTCACTTTCCCTACTACTGTGCCACGTACCTTTACTGTGTCAGTGCTGAGATTCTCCATCTCAAGAATCTGTTAAGTCTCAAGATCTCAAGGGTTTTCGCCAGAGAATGAGCTTATTTCTCTCTGCTGACTGGCTGGAGATCCCAGAAATAAGTTTCACTCTGTAAAACTAGCCTTTGCAAATAACTTAGAAAGTTCCCTAGTTGACCCCACCACCTTAGTGCATAGGGCAAATAGGTGAAATGAATATTCTAAACCAGATCCCTGGTAGGAGCTTGTCTCCCTATGGACAAGACAACCGATGGACAAGTGGAAAAGGGCTAGGTAGGGGAACACGGGGGTTCCTTTCCCCTCTCTCTAATTCCTCCCAGGGAGGGAAATTCCAGCAGGACCTGCACAGACTACCTCGTGGTATCCACAGTTCCCATCCCACCCTGCCCCACCCCACCCTACCCTACTCCAGGCTGTGGAGTCCATCAAGAGCAAGAGCCTCGTGTGCTCATAGAACCCGGTGCCTTTGGCTCCTGTCTCCAAGGCACTCCATACTTTCCTTCAGGTCTGCTCGTTTCAGAATAACCTGTCTCTGCTTTTCTTCCCTTCAGGATCATCTGCGTCCTCTTCTGCTATGCTGTTTTTTTCCTAGCCAGGATTCCCTCGTTCCAGTGTCTCCTGGCTCCTTGCCAGCCTTCTCTCCCGAGGGCCTGAGATTCATGGTTTTCCTTTTCCTCCACTCCCAACTGATATTCCCTCGGCTATGTACCTCTCTGTTTGGTGTAGCTGCCTACACAGCTTTAGGTATACCACGTTTCCCTGCCGGAGCATCAGGCAGTTGGGCCAGCACAGCATTGAAGCCCAAGCTTAGGCACCAAAGGCAAGCTGCCAAAGGTGCCATCATGACCAAGTCCGTGCCATTCCAGTGTGCACCAGAATCTGAGCAGAAGAGGCTGTGCCAGCCCGCATCCTGGGCACTGAAGGCCCTCTACTGGCATCTGCTTCTCAGCCTCAGTGGGGTTCTAACAAATTCCTAGCCATCTAGTTGTTCCCTGTCATTCCCATTGCAACACTTGGTGGTAGGAGGTATTATACAGACCTGGTTGGGACTTCCCCTTTCCCTAGTTCTAGGCCACCCTTCCCCTCTCTCTTTCCCTTTAGTTTCTACTGGAAAGTAGAAGTTTGGGAAATGTAAAAGCTAGAATCCTTGGAAGGTAAACCTGGGATCCTATTTCATGGTGGGGGTTGAGATGTTGTAACCCTAGTAAGCAATGAGGAAAAGTACCTGCCTCTACAGCCCTTTCTTCCATGTAACTGGAACCCTCCCATGTGTAAACCCTTTCCTCCTGCAGAATCAGGCTCCTCGGTCCCCTGGCACTGAAACTGTGTACTGTGATGAAGGGGTGGTGTTTTAGCTCATACTTTGATCTGAATCCAGAAACAAACTCTAACCATTTCATGGCTTCTCAGGAAGCTTTGTAAATAAGAACAAGTTGCCTGCTTTCCTACCTCTTCCCTCCCTGGGAAATGAAGTAAGATGAATGGAATCAGCACCTTCCCTTTGCTCCTGATAGATCTGCCCATGATATTAAGGCATGTGGGTATCTCTAAGACTATTCTACCAGATCCATGAAGGACAAAGGAATTCCTTTTGATTTGCTCATTGTTACTTAGGGCCAGGAATAAGGATGGTAGGTTTAATTGAGGCCCCAGATCAAGATAATTGTTGGAAAATCAAGGCATTAATTGCCTCTGCCTCTGAAGAGTAAGACACGAAATCAGAGACTGCTTATGTAGGGCTGGGCCAGCAGCTGCTCACCACCACCAATAGCAACTCTTCCTCCACCTCCCTCAATCTAGTCTTTGAGTTGTATCATCAGCATTTCTGCCAGACATTTGAGGACCTTCAAAGCACTCATGCAGTTAGTGGCATTCTCTGTGAGCCTGGTCACTGGATTCCTGAGCTGCATTCTCAAGGCCCTGTCCACTTCAGCCCAGGGAAAGGGTGTCTTGGAGAAGAAACTCAGACAGAGGGTGAACCCAGCAACTCATGGTTCAGGAACCCTTCCACCATGGCCACCTATGTATGGGCTACTACACTGCCTCTGTTGTTTCTTCAAATGCATGAGTTATTTTCCTGGAAAATCTGTAAAATAAGTAGTCCATTTAATTGATTTGGAGGCTCCTGAGCCTCAAAATTTAGTAATGTATACTTGGCCTTTAGTTTCTTAAATTGCATGTCTTATTTTTAAGAGTTCAGGTCAAAGCAATGACTAAGCTGCCACTCTCTGTTGGGAGTCATGGGTGGGGGGATCTCTTTAAATTTTCTATACTCTTGGATACCTGACACTGAAAATATAGGCTGAAAGGGAAGAGAAGACTGGATTCTGGCTGGATGTTTGGGCTCCATGGCTAATTGTTCCTTAAATGAAGTGTGATATGCAGTTAACATTGTCCCCCTTCTCCTCCTCACCTTTGCTTTGTGTTGGAGGGGTCTCTTACTTTCCATCTCCTGTCCCCCTTTTCCCAGCTCCTTCCATCCCCGTGCCCGAGCCCTCCGCAACCCTCCCTTCCTCTTTACCCCTCTCTGACTGTAGAGCAAAGCTGTCTCACTCTCTGATTCTTTGCAGATCGACGTAGTTAACACATTCCAGACGGGAGCCTCTTTTAAGGGAGTCCTAAAGCGACAGACCATGGGTCAACAGCTTGATGTAAAACTTGTTCCTAGCTCATCCCATGTAACAGTTGCACCAGTCAGATCTTCCCCCACCACTTCTGTTGCTGCTGCCGTTTCATCTGCTACTCTGGGCAGTGAGTGATAGTCTATTATGATGCATGATTTGCTCAAATGACCACAAGAGAGCACGTGGCATCCACTTTAACCAACCATGGTTATCTTTCCCTTTTGGTTTTTCCCCCTGATCTTCTGGTTTAAGGGAAGAAAAGACCAAAACCTCACTCTAAAAACCAGGCTGTGCGCCCTTTTATTTTTTGTTTTAATTTTTGAAAAGCTATTAGACTGTAACCATTTTAAAGATAATAATCCTGTTTTCTGATCGTTCCTCTGCGTTGCTTGCTTCTCCCTTTTCTTGAGGTTTGGTTATTTGTTTGTTTGTGTATTTTCTGCTTTGTTTGGATGTGGTGTTGTTGCTATTGTTCCTCTCCTTCCTTCTGCTCCTTTGACTTCCTCTCAGGAGTCTAAACACTCGCTCCTAAGCTAGACATAAAATTAGGCTGGATGAAAACCCACAGCCTGTCTTCACTGGCAAACAAGTTTCAGATCTCCTGGCCAGTCCACTAGGAAAGAGATTTCTGAAGGACGTGAAGATTGGTGTGAAGGGAGCTACCGTGCCAATGAATATTTTGCTAGTAGACCTGAAGTAATTGAGCCAGTATTGGACTTGGCCAATGACAATAGTCATTTTAGCTGCCACTCTATCATTAGCTAGAAATATTGGCATAAAACTTGTAGTTGGATTTGGAGAAAAGAAAGTGGTTGTGTTCAAATGTACAGGGCTAAGCATCCCTGTTATTTTACTTTTCAGGAACTTTAAACCAAACTCTGGGCCAGAAAAAATATACACGAAAGTCACAATAACTTATTTTTTCTTCGTTTTGGGGTGTTTTTTTTTAGGAGTTTCTGAAGAGCACAGCTTTTTTTGCTTCTCCTTTCCTTTTAGTTTCATTATTTCCCCTACAGTCGGCCCCCGTATCTTATTTTGCACATACAATCCTAGGAAGCCCTTTCTCTGGGCTTGCCTATCAGTTGCATGCAGTCAGCTCTACATCTAACATCTGGTGTTCCCATTGGTAGACTGGATTCTTGCTAATGCTTGTGCTTCCTATTCTTTGTCACTTCACTTTCACCCAAATGGGCCCCGGAGAATGGAGAGAATGCAGTCAGCTCGCTGTTGATAGTGCTATTAAAGTATTTGGTGAGGAAGGAATTTCTCTGTATTAAATATATTGGATTATCTGTAGGCTTCAAATATCTGAGCATCTGTCTATTCTTTCCTCCCTGCCCCCCAGTCTCAGCCACCCACCCAAGCCTAGGAGAGGGGAAGGAAGAAATAGCAGTTACATTATCTGTCACATATTTGTGAGCTGTGGAGGTTGACTAGACTTAGATTTATTTGCTTTGTAGTCACCTGTGTGCTGGTGTGAAGTATGGAGTGGGGGGGTTCAGTATAGATAGATACTATTTTTTATAGGCTCAAAGGCAGAAAAGAAAAGACTAAATAAGTCTACCCTGCAAATATCCAGGAGATTCTAGCTCTAGTCCTTCCATATTCCTCTCATTTTCTTTTCTTCTTCTAGTTTTGCAACCCCCTTCTAACTAGCTTCTGTCCTTTTTAATCATCCCTCTCTGGTGCAAAGGGTTACTGTCAGATGCTTGGAGACTAAGCAGAAGACAGAGCCCGTAGGGCTATTATAGAGGAGTTGGTAGATGAGTATGCCCCAGACCCTCAAAGTTTAGATCAGACAAGGAAGAAGGCCACACCTACTCTTTCTCCAGCTGTGCTTTCTCACTTGGAAGTGCTAGAAGTTACAGCCTTCTATTAATTTATATATAATTGTTTATAAGCATTTTTAAACACTAGCCTTCTATTTATTTTTATGCGCTTATTTGTACACATTTTAAAACCCCTTTCCCATTTCAGATCTTCAAATGAATTTAATTATTTGTCCAGCCTAGGACTTCCCTCTGTAGGGAGGTCCAATCTCTTTTGCTTCCCTGGTTTCTGAAAAGAGAGTAGAAAACAGCAGAATACCATCTGAGGAAAGTTGTCGTCTGCCCATTCATTGAGTTCCAGCAAGTGGCCCTTAGCACTCGTACCTAATGTAAGGTCCAGCCTGGTTGGGGCTCCTGAGTCATAAAAAAGAGTTGCCCTTCAGTCAGCCACTTTCACCTGTAAGACAGGTGTCACAGAAGAGACATTTCCCTTGCACTCGCCCACATAGAGGTTTTGAGAGAAGATGGCCGGGGAAGGAAGGGTTGGTTGGCTGAGTGGAGAGTGCCTGAAGCTTTCACAGCACCTGCTTCACTAGCCTTGTCTTGTACCCTACACACTGCTCATGCACCAGGCACCATGCACCAGGAAGGAAAGATGCCCCAGCCGCTTGGGGTGGATCAGTGGTAATGTATCTATGTGATTATTCATCAGCGTGTGTTATGTACCATATTCCCTGAGGCCAGTGTCGGAGTTGAGGAGAATTCTGGGGATGCTCCATGCCCTCTACCTCCTCAGCCTTCTCTCCACCCACCAGGACGGTTGGTACTCCCTAGCTCTCTGATTCCTCTTCACTTGAGCTTCCCTTACAGGTGGCTGGTTTCCCTTTAGATTCCAGAAGTCCTGCAGTCTAGCTGGATGACTGTTCCTTGCTCCCCCAAAGAAGAAAGTTTTCCTATTTTTCCATCTATTCATCCCCAATTCATTTTTATCTCCCTCACTGTTTACCTGTAACAATGTTATTGATCACCCTAACAGGTGAGAGGAAAAGCCAGCAAACAGGGCTCCAGACCCTCACTCCAACCCCAGTTTTTTGAAAAATCTGTTTTCTATCATGGACTTCACATTTAATTGTTTCAATGAAAGATTCAGTTGCTTTAAAAAGATAGAAGCAGAAAGTTTGAAAATCACTGGCATTGAAGATGATGGACTGGTGGCATAAAGGTACATGCTCTCCTGTAGCACTCATTAGACATTTTGAGGTCTCAAGAGCAGGTGAAAAGTGTGGGCTGTGCTCACTCCTGCAGATTGTGGTATGGCTTTGAACCAGTCCCTTGGCCAGTGTATCTGTATCAGGGCCAAGGGAGACGGCATTGGGTTTGGGTTCGTTTAATCCAAGTTGCCTTGCTCTGAGATTCGATGTAGATCAATTAAAACTTGGGACCTCCTGAAGACCTGATGGAACCTTTGTGCCATCTGATCTCACTGAGATCTGGAACAAAGGGAACATGGCAGGTAAAATTCACACATCAGTGGGAATCACAGAAGGATGGAGAAGCAGGTCCTTACTTTCTGTTCAGCATGGTGACTGTGAGCCCAGCTTCCTTGATTCTTTGTGGCTGAGGTGTTGAGCTGATTCTATTGAGTGGCAAGGAATCCTTTGCCCTCTAAACTCTGAGCACCTCAGTCCCAGGCGGGCCTGCCAGTCTGTTGTGGAGTGAGGCAAGGTAAGGAAAGCCTTAGCCAACAGAGACATAATCATCTCCAGAGAAGATAGACCAACAGTACTGATGGTAAGCCATCTTTGCACAGTGTCTTTGAAGGTTCTATATAGTGGTAGGAAGCATTGGGACAAGCAATCCAACCAATTTGTATGCCTGGCTCTGTGTGCTCTGCCATCTCCACACTCTTGCCTCTTCTCCAGGAACATATGTTTTCGCTTAAATAGCAGAGGAATGAAAGAAGTGCCCTACCCCACATTCATTTCTCCTCCCTCTTCTCCCCACCACCACCACCACCTCAAAAATTTCCCCTGCATTACTACCACTTCTTTTCTGAGGGAAGAATTTTTGGACAAGAATAAGATCTGCCACCTCCCAACGACGCTGTCCTATAGCAGCTTTCTTTTCCCCGACCTCTCTCTCCAGCCTCGCAGGGATCCTTAGCCCAGTTCTTCCCTACCCCAATTCTACCAACCCAGCTTCTAAGCCATACCTTGGAGAAGTCTACAGTTCAGAAAAGCAGAGCTAGCAAAAGAGCTGGTACCTGTGAATAAGGCTAAGGCAGTTCACGGGAATCTGTTACTGTCAATGGCTTCCTCTTGATTTTCGAATTGATTGAACTCCTTCCTTGTTGTTTAGTAGAATAAAGACATTGACACTCACAGGGCCGTCCATTTCCCTTTACCCAGTAAGTCTGTAAATTGTTTCCTTTGCCCCATCCCTTCAGAAAGTCCATTTGTTTGTAGCACTGCCTCCTGGACTAGGTAGTTTCTCTCCGGGTCCCATCCTTTCCCTTCCCCATGTAAGATCAGGCTTCTCCTTTCACATTTTGGAAACAGCTGGAGACAGCTGCATGACTGGGCACAGTTGCCATGTGTCAGAAATGTGAACATGCATTTGGGTTGTGAGAGCCAGGTCTTTCGGTGGTCAAGACGAAGATGTCTTTTGATACCGGTCGTTTATCTACATCTTCCAGAAGAGGGACAGAAGGAGTGGAGTTTTGCTTTTGGGGTGGAAGGGGGACATGGAGGAGGTTGTGGGATGGAAATCTATGCATGTCTCCGGACCGAAAGAGCGGATTATTAAATTACAGAGTGTAAGCGATTTCATTTCCTGCATGCCACTCACACAATGAAGGTTGGTTTGTCTGCCTTGCTGCACGGTGTTCGTGGTCACTCATCACCCAAAGTGTGTTATGTTCAGATTGGCATATGTTGGCTTTTTGAGGGTTTTCAACAGATAACTAAGCATCAATGTGTAATTTTTTTTGTTCTACGTTAGCAAAATGTTTGGCCTCCACACAGAAACCCACGTGTCTGAGTCATCTTTTACGTTTGGCCATTATGTTGCACCTAGTTCCAACTTCTTTGCCCTCCACCCAAAAGAACTAATGAATCTTTTTGTTTTCTGTTTTATTTTAAGTGTGAATTGTTTGGGAATACTAACTTTGCTTTGGGTTTTCTACTTTGTTTTTTTTTAATGCAGCTTTTGAAACATCCTAGTTGTTTGCCATTACTCACCCCACCCACCCCACCACCCCTCAACGCTTGAAATTTGAGCCATGCAATGTTCCTAGTGCTCCATGATCTCTTCTTACATGTTTGGTTTTGGTGGTTGAGCAGTAATGTTTTGTGGTTTGGGTTTTGTTTCTCTTCTTAAACCATCAGTTCTTGGTTCTGCTGGCCAATTCTCACCTCCCTGTTTTCTCATCCTCCTTTTCCTTCCCCTGGTGTAGATCAAAGTGGTCAAAGCGTTCCATAGTTCCCTCCATGAAAACATTATGAAACCTGCGAACCAAAACTCCATCCACAACTTCATGACCCATCCTGAATTCGCCATAGATGAAGAGGGGCCACGAACACCAGTCCTGGATGAGCAAGAGGAGGAAAATCCTGAAAATGTTTTTAAGTCTGGGACGAGGGTGTTCCCAGCTGATGACGAGGTCACTCCATATGCCAACAAAAACAACAATGCGGTGGATTGCAATCAAATGCAGATCGTTGCCTCCCACTCAGACAGCCCTCTACACAGCCTGGAGACATCAGTTTGAACTTTCATTCTCTGACTTCGTCCCTGCTTTCTTTATTTCCTTTTTCATCTGTCCTGTCTATAAGGTGATGATGGGACTGAAAACTGTCATGTCAGCTGCTCCCAAGTATGTGTGAACCCCACCTGACCATGAAGAGGCAAGAGCAGAGACTGACAAGGATTTCAACTTAAACTTGAGTTGAGGTTTGTAGCAGGACGCAATCAAATCCCAGGCAGGTAATGGTAGAATTTACTCCTCGGACGTATCAGTTGTTATTTTTAAAGAAATGATGACAGTCCTCTTGGCATCACTCCAATCCAAATTCTCCCACAAAGTTCATACGTAAGTTGCTGTCTCCTGACTTCTGGAGCTTACCCTGTGAGTCTGTGCCACTTGTAAGCTAAGTTGAGGGTTCAGACAGAGACAAACATCTCCAAATGAAATGTGTTGAAGTTGGAATGGAATGTATAGAATCAGCCTGTAGAGTGATTGCTTTTTAAACAATTCTTCCTATTTTGAAAACTTATACTTAAAGCCCCCTAGCTCTTTCTGCCCTTCCAGTCACACCTCCCCAAGGCCCGTTTGATCTTTTGTCACCCTTGTCATCCTTCCGTTCACCTGTGTGTGTGTGTGTATGTGTGTATGTGTGTGTGTGTGTGTGTGTGTGATGATTTAGAAAGTAGAAAGGGCATGGGTGATTGAATAAACTTTGACCATTCTCCTCTCTGACCCCAATGAAACCCTTCGTTTAGTTCTAGAAGCAGACGGATTCTTTGCTGAAAGGGTCCTTTTGAAGCAGTCGAGGCCTGGTAAGAATGTTTCATTGTTGCCAGGTTGCCTTCTACTTCTAAACTGCCGTCTTGTCGGTGTGTGTGGTGTTTAAGTGCCAGAGAGAGGAGCCTTGACTATGAAGCTTTCATGTGTGTGGTATGTAGTTTTCACCCTAGGCCTGAGCTTTCTCCGATTCCTAAAGTGGTGGTAAAAGAATGAGCCTGCCTCCTAACTGACCTTGAATACTGAGGACCAGGAGCTGGCAGATCTGGGGCTCCTTCTTGGGGTGACCACTACTGCTTGCAAAGCCATCTGCTGAAGCTCTCCCAGGGCAGGATCTGATTGTTGGGTGAGTGAGCATTGAGAAGCCTTCCTTGGGAGAGGCCAAAGGGCCATTCTAGCAGGATCTGAGAAAACCTTCCTGCAGGGACCAGAAACCTTGAGCTCAGGTGCCTGTGTACTAGCTTAAACACGCTCTCCAGTTGTCTCATTCTGCTCTTTGCTGCATCCCATAACTTGTCCAGTCTCTGAGAAGGTTCCAGTCTTTCTCAAATATTCTGATTTTGAAACTATGGACCCAACATGAGTGGCTCCAGTGACATTTTGTTGACTTAAAGGAGCAAAAGACTCACCCTGACAAGTTACTCTTCTTCCTCTCTCCTCCTTTCTCTCTCATGTCCCGCTCAAGCCGTCTCCAGCAACGCACTCCAACTACTACCGCACAGTAAAGCCCTGTGCCTTTTCCCCCCCGAACGCTGCCTGAAGCACACCCTCCGCATCTGCCTCTCAGGAGCTGAGGACTTTGCTAGGAAATTAAGTGTTCCTTAATGGGACAAGGTGGAGCAACATTTACGGGAGCTCCATTTTTATCCCTGCTGACGTTGACTTAGGCTCTTCTGTGCAGGGGGTAGCTCATGTCTGCCCAATTCCTATCTCCCAGTGGATCAAGGAAGCCCCCTCTTTCTAGAGGGATGGGAGAAGGGAGAAGGGACCTGAAGCTCTTATAAACTGCCAAATTTCCATTTGTGAGAGAAAAGTGTCCTGGACCTTTCCACTCCAGTCTTTTCTGGATCCCTCCCCCCTCACCCCTTTCGCATGAGCTGTCCAAGGTAGGAAGAGTAAGGAAAGAATACCCGCTACACACTCCCATTACTATACAACTCATCATTGTAGGAAATAGAAAAACACATTTGATTTCGGTTTTGTAAAAGTTACATGCTTCAGTGATCTTTTCTCTGTCTTATATTCTTGGGGGCGGGGGAAGCTCACCCAAGGTATTAGGTGTTCACTTATATCTTTATTAAGTACATTGGAAGATTTAGTTCTGTCAAGTCTTTTATTACCTCAGATCAGTTTTAAAAAATAAGCCAATAACAAACTCTGGAGGCTATTTTACCGTTTCTGATCCCAAAAGACTTTCATGGTGCCTGACAGGTTACTCTTGAGGGCTTGTGTCTCCTTTTTTAAAGTCAACGGTTTTTTGTGTTCTAGTTTCCATAGTAGGAGAAGAATCTGTAGAAATATTATGCAAAAAAAATATAGTTTTCTTTAGATCAGAAACTGATATTTTTGAGTCAGCCATATGTATTTTGTGTAAAGGATTGAAAATAAAGTGCCGCCATGTGACCCTGCGGAAGGCAGCGCGTAACCAGCTGTTTGATGTGACTGGTGACTTCGTACGTTTGTAATGGGTTTAAAAACCAATAGACCGTACTTTCTTTCTCCAAACAGCCATCTTTATACTTAGGGGAAAAAAAATTGTTGGGTTCTAGACTTTTTTAACATAAACTTTGTTGATATGAAATTGAGTAAGTTTAAGTGTTTATGTGCGTATGTTTTTTTATATAAGTTTTTTTTTCTATTCAGTTTCCGTAATCCAATTGGCAATGAGTAAATATGGCATAAGTTAATAAAGCTTTCCCCCAAAATGGTGCTTTGGATTTGAAAAGGGTCTGATGGGGAGAAGGGAACATATCATCCTAGATTTCTCTCTCGACAGTCCTAGAAAAATGGGTGTTAAATTGCTGACGGTAAGGAAAACATCCAGCAGGGAGGGACACTGCCGGCAGGAAATGAATGTCTGCCCTCCGTGGAGATGGATTGCCAGGTTCTTTCATAACTCGTGGTGAGGAGCAGGGGCCTTTGGTCGGATTTTGTGTTTCTTGAAGAACGACTAGCAGAGTGGTACCAAAGACATTAGTATTTCCTAGTCCGTAAGGATAATCTGGTTTGGAGTTTGCATTTTTTTTATGGTTCTTTCATTTCCTGTTCCTCCTGGAGTTTTCCATTAGTGACTTTTCGTGCAGGGATCTGATCTGTGACTTCTTCCCCTCCCCTAGAAAGGCTGAGTGCAATATACTCGATGGGGGATAGAGCTCTAAGTGGAAAAAACAACGTCTGGTTCTAGCCCTGGGTAACGGTCTGGGGATAGGTCCTTCCCACAGGTGCCCTCTGCCCTCTGGAATGACTCCCCCATCCCTAAAGATGTTGAGAGAGAGATCACCTCAAAATCCCTCTGGGTACTTGTGGATTCTTTAAGGTTTGGGGTTTCTTCCTCCCCTTGAGCTTCAGAGGGGAGAGCTTGCACAGTTAAATCTGAGTGATTATCTCACTGCGGAAAACCCAGAGGGGTGTGAGAATCTCACATATGCCAGGAAACCTCTAACTGCGTCCCCTCCTTTCTTTCTGGCATCCCTTGCCTTATGATTGAAGCAGTTCCTGGTACCATCAGAGCAGGCAACTTCCTCGCCTTTCATATCTAGCGATCACCCCACTGCAGTGATGGGGGTGGGGCATTTAGAAATGCCTTCTGTTCTTAAGCCATCCCAGCCCTTTTTCTCACAATAGACCAGACACCCTTCCATTTAGCTCAGTGCCATTCCTTTTGCCTTCCCCACCCCTGCCGTTAGGCTGCTGTCCCCTTCCCTCTGGATAGGAGAGACAGAGGGAGATGAGCTCCCCATGACTGAATCGGCCTTTGGTTCACGTTCCTCCCAAATATGTATATATGCCATATGTGAATATGCCATATATATGTGCCAAGAAATCTAAGTTTTCCTTTTCAAATCAGCACGTAGATAGGAATTTTGAGTTTCTTCTTTTTTCAGTAACGAGTATAACAAGCACTGGTATTTTTGTACAAAAAGAGAAAAAAACACAACAAAAGATTTGACTATTGTGGTCTGCATGACATAAACAACCAAATGGTGAAATCAAAGCAATGTATACGCCAATGTGTGTTGCCATGATTTGCAGTTCAGCTTAACGGTGCACCCAATCTGTATTTGCATTTTGATATTATTTAAGCTCTATGTACAATGTTTTGCATGTATTTATATGGTTCTTAGGGGGGAAAAATGCTCTGAACTGGTGAATCTGAAATTCAGATGTGTTTGTTCCACTGAGACGGGAAGAATAGGAGTTTTAAAAGAATAAAAAGGGATAATTTTTTGGAACCAATAAAGCTTTTTGCTGATGAGCAGAAACCAGTACTGCCGTGCACTGAGAATAAAAACCCATGCCCACTAGTAACCGTGCTGTCCTCAATGTGTCTCCACTTTTGAGTCTTGCTACTGGTTGTCCATTGAAGTTGAGAAGGGAGCTGCCACAGCCACGTTGAGAACCCCATCTCAGCAAGCCCAGAACTCAGCTGGTCCCAGGACCCTGACATGCTCCTCTGCCAAAGCCTCCTTCTGGCGACCCTCAGCCCTGCCTGCCAGGTTCATTCCCTTGTAATGCGAGCTTGGCTCTGCCCACCTTGGTTAGAATCTACAGTCAAGGAGCTGTGAAGCCAGAGTGTTTGGAAAAGGATGAATTTGGAAGGATAGGAAGGAGTCAGTCTTGGCAGTCCTTTCTTTCCTCCCTTACCCGCCCCCCTTTTTTAAATAAATGAAATGCCTTTTGGGAAAATTTGTTCCCCTTATATTAGCTAATTTTCTGTACCTTCTTTCTGGGGTTCTCCACCATGACCAACCCAATGGCTTTTTTTCATTGTGCATTCATTTGGTCTTGATCATGACAGATACTAGACCCCCAGTTTCAGATCAAAACAGCCCCCTGGCAGGTCATTTAGGTTCTGAGCTTTCATGTCTCAGAAGATTCCTTCCTGCAACTCTCATCCAGGTGCACAATGAAGTTCCCCGCTCTCTTTTAAAACATCAAAGGAAGGAAAGTACCACGCAGCTGCCCAAGTTCCTTTAGGAAATGTATGATGTTGAAAAGCAGCCCAGACTCTCCCAGCCGTTTTAACAGGCTGGTCCTGAAAGCAGAAGCAGCCTGGTGGTGAGAGGTCTTGTCTCCACTTTTCTTACCCGTCCCAGGTTGATCTCCACAGGCAGGGACCAGGGCTTACTTCATAATAGGAGTAATAAAATAGTCACAGAATGGATCTAAAGTCTTTTCCTTTTCCATTGTAGGCTGCCTCCTGAATACCCTTGCTAAAAAGGGATGCAACACACACACACATATACACACATAGAGAGTCCTTTCTAAAGCCTGGGACTGTATTTTCCCTTCACCCCTACCTTGTCTTTTTGGGCCCTAGATCTGTGCCTATCTACTGTGCCAAACAGGGGCTTGAATTACAATTTCCTAAAGTGTAAGGATCCCAAAGATCCACACCTAACCCCAGCGTGTGGAAAAACATGATGAAGAATGATTCCTCAAAGACTCTCCGGAAGAGACCGCTGTATCCTAAGGCATTAGTTCAATGGAGTATGAAGGCCAGCTCGGCTCCTTGGGTCTGAATTACCATATTTACCCTATGGAAAAGAAAATGATCTTTTCCTCCCCTCCCAGTTCTAGAAA